GCCTAAAGATATTTTTTTCAATTTTCCAGGCAATCAAAACACAGTCAAATAATTTAATAAGTACAGTAAAGGAAACTAATGAAATATCGAAGAACATGACCAGCTCAGCTCGGGTATGGTTTTTATTGTTTCCCTGGTTTCACCTGTTCAAACGAGTAAATAACAAAGTTGCGAGATCTAAAAGCAAACGATGAATAAAATGCTGTGGATTTCTTTCATTTTACTTGAAAATTTGGATATTAAATGAATCTTGGTATAATCAAACGACTGGTTTTCATCTTTGAAAATTCTTTTTTTTTTTTTTTTTTTTTTTTTTTTTTCTTCTCAAATCATGCTCGAAGTGATTAGGACCAGAACCTCCCGGCGAGTTGCAAATGATGACGGTCAGAACATGAATTTGTCACTAAGCTTTGGTCACAGATTCAAATGCAAAAAATTGAAAACTCAATGTATTTAGCAAAGCAAGATCGGAATAATAGCTGTGTTTTCTATCGGTATGCTCAGCTGACTGTGTTATGGACTACGGGCAGATTTATCTGACTCGTGCAAAAGATGTCGTCGTCTGAGGTTGGAATTCAACGATAAACAAAACAGTGTTAGCGTACTGCGCGGAACTCCGGGAGTGAGGCGCGGTAAGTTTCGTGCATATATTCTACGGCTGCAATCTACAGTTTCACTCTCTGAGCCCTGTCGGGGCCCTTTCCCAAGCCGTTACATTAGGCGTCATATCCGTGACGAAGACCATTTACGTTACAAAGAATAATTACGTGACATATCGTTGTGAAGGGGAAAAAACCTCACCTGGAAACAGCTGAGAATAACAGCTGTCAAACCAGAGCAGTTTTTAATCTTTAAGCCCGTTTTCTTAATTCGTTCGTTGCATCGGTTGTTTTGTTTGAATGGAAACAATAACAAATGTTTGCATTTCTTATATTGTTATATTTTGCAAATGTCACCCTCGTGATCTGGGTTGTTTTGATACACGGATACAAGACAAAACATGGATAGATCTCTTCTCGACGAAAAGATTTGATAAAATTATTGCGGAGTGACACACTGGAGAGTGAATACTGTTAGTATAAATAACAGAAATTATGGAAGTTTCTAGCTTGTATTATCGGTTTCTGTCAAAATTAATTGCAGGCCTTGACACGTTGAAGAAAGTAATTAATTCAGCGTTAAAAATATTCCAAAAGAATTCAATCAAGGAAGCAATCAAAACAACATTTGAGAAGCTCGATGATTTCACTCGAACATCTTGAGAGATGCATAAGCTTATTTGTCTCACGCGTTCACTCTTCGTAGAGAAGAAACGGCGAAAGCCTTGATTTTTAGGACGATTCGCACACGAGAATAAATAAGACGTTATACGTTATGAAGGACACCGGTTACATACATACAGGAAATAGTGTTCGGTCTTTTAAATAAGATCGGCCATAATATTATCAATGGAATAATCTCGAGAGAGTGTTTACTGATAGAATCACTATGGTGTTTGGATATTTCAGTTTCGTCTCGCTGTCACGCAAGATAACCAACAGAATACGCTGTTTCTTCTTACCTGTGATTTCTTCCGGGAATTCCAAGCTTTCTAAAAAACTGCAAATATTCCTCCAACCAACTACCTGTCGTTTCTTCCTGTGGGGTTGAAATATTGGCACAGCAATCTTTCTTCCCGATAGAACCGACAGCAATTTCGCCGCTACTCCGCTGTCGTGGAGGTCTGTTACGTCTTGTATCGACACACAGACTGTCTCTAGATGAATGTTAGCCCATTTCGCAAGAGTTCGCCTCCTAATAACCCTTCTGTATCCAGTTGCTAAGGGTGTAGAATTACTCCGACCATTTGCCATCTTGGTGACTTGTGCTGTCATCTTTTCCAATCACCTCGCTTCCGGCTAGGTTAGTATTTTACTATCGGTTTTGGATAGTAAAACACTGACTTTCGGAAAATAGTCGTCGTGAACTGATCCTGTTTCGCACGTGTACGGACGGAGTTCAGTCTTGTTCCATCTTGTAAATACTGATATGTTGTGAAAACAAAAAGATATACTAAATATAACTTCCCAAGTGTTTATTTTCAATCAGCCTTGTGGATTTCCTCGTACACTGGTAAAAGAAATTCCGTTTTAACTAATATATTAGACTCAGTTGTGTTTTCCTTTAATTAATTTTTTCTCTGAAATTTCTTATACCTCTGTTCCACAGTTACCTATTTATTTATTTACTTATTTATTTTTCTTATTTAAAACTTACGATGACGTACACGTGACAGACGCATGTGTCACGCGTTGCGAATCATCAAATATCTGAGATAATACGCACGCTCTCATTGGTTAAAAACATAACGCACACTGTATTATCATGTGGGGGGAGGGGCCAGAGGATTTTTCGGGAATTACATGGATTTCAGGGGGAGACGGAGGGGGGGGTCAGTCGTCATACCAACGAGGTGGGGGGGGGGAGAGGGTGGAGATCTTAGGAATATTACATGGCCTTATGGGGGTATCAGGTAAATTTACGTCTGTAAAACCTATAGAAAGTGCTGTCTATAAACCCCAAGAAATGTATTTTAGCCCTTGGGCTTTCATTTGACCAGTAAATAATCAAGGATCAAGGGAGAACTCAGAAATTTTTAACACACTAATTCCCAAAATACTAACTTTAAATTTTAGACTGATTTTATTGACAAAATTTTAACGATCGATGACTCGCGTTATTATCGGACAGCAACAAAAAATAAGTTTGTTCTTGGGCTGATCGCTGAGTGTATACAACAGACAGACACTAACGCGACAAAACGCCCCGCCGATCAAATTATTTTGTTAAACAGTACTTGTTAGGTTGTGCTTGATTTATCAAGAGATTAACCGCATAACCTCAAATTTTATCAAGATGCTTTCCCATCGCAGAATTGTTGCAAATCAGTGTTCAACATTAGTCTCGGATTCAAATATCCATAGTTAAGAAAGTTTTGGTCAAACCGTCGAACTATCACACATATTTGAAGTGCGATCGGAAGAAGAAATTGAGGGTCATAAAAATGCAACCTTGTTTGCTGAGTTATGCACATAAAAACTAGTCACGAATATGGTGGATTTTCAGGACAGTTCGCTGTTAAAAAAATGTTAAAAAAACAGCTTCAATGCTGGACATTTGATGAAGAACTATATTACTGAAGAAAATTTCGCCCAGATTTCACTTTTGATCCTCTTAGGGAAGGTCATTACACAAAGAAAGTAATTTGTGCTGTCTTTTGTCGGTGTTTACCTGCGTTATCGTTCGGAAATGTTTGATTTCAGTATCAACATGCAAGGCAGACGGGCTAGTTTTAGAGAGCGGCTCAGAGGTGCGTATCGCGTACAAGTAACTCAGAAGTGGCGATAACTTATCTTTCCCTAGAGCCTTGGCAATGTCTTCATTTGAAAATGGTTAAATACCTAAGTCTTTTGGCCACTCCGATCCGCTCTGTTTTACTTGCATATGTGTTCAACCTCCCTGCCTCGTAACTTTAAACCGAAACTCGATCCTGTCGTAAAGTTAAGAGGAAATGAGGTGCTTTAGCTCCCAGCTTAATATTGGATCCTGTTTCACTCTGAAGATTCAGTTAAAGAAGCATGAGTTTACATACCAAGTCCGCGGTGTCAACTTCTCTCCCTTCTGTTTGTTCTTCAGCGTCTTCATAAATTTCTATTTACCTAGATGAAGCTTGATGAAAATCCCTTTAGCCTTTTGTAACCGCGGTAACTAAACTATTGATCACTAACTTGATTACTGGCAAAATGATGCGAATGTCGTGCATTGCCAAGCTTTGTTCTACAAAATAACTGTATTAGGTTAACCCTTCATAATTTAATCATCTTTCGTCTTCTTTGTTCAGTTGTAATTATTTTCGTGCGTCCATTAAGCAGTTTATTTGTTTCCGGAACCGCTCCTTGTTTCATTGGCCAATCACTCCCCTCACGCCTTTATTCGCAAAAATAATCGTGCATGCAGTTTTCTGTGATCATGCTTGATCACTATCAAATTTTCTTACATTGCCTGAGGGTAACGACATGATACTGACCCTCGTTTTAACTGCAAGCAAAACCGTGACGCGCGCGAGCTGGGTTTTGGAAGCGAGGGGGGGGGAAGGAAACCAGTAACCGTTTTTCCCTCACAGGCAGCCAGTGTCGTGTGAATCGCTTCAAGCCCTTCTTTGACGGAAGAAAAGTCAGAACCAAATCTATGGAAGCTTTAAAAGATTGAATGAATAAAAATAGATGAAGTAAGGTCACAGAAAATTTTCCATTACGCATGTAAATAGATTTTTATGTGAAATACGAGTTTCTTCCACGACTGCTACACTGTTAGCCACGAAAGTGCACGTCTTGTGCAATCCCCAGAGGAAGGTCGAAGGATAGTGTCTGTAGATGACAGATCTGCGGACCATGCCCATCCCCCAATATTTGGGCGGCAGAGCCACGGAGCCATGGGTGTTGAACGTTCCTTATCGAGAGTCCTTTCGTGGCTTCATCCCTCATTTTAGAGTCGTAAAAAAATCTAGAAACTAGAAACTTCCAAAAAATTGCTAGCAACGCAAACCCTACGGAATAGGAAGGAAGACTATCGAGTTCGCGCGCAGTACCTCGCCTGCATTTCATTTGAGCGCATTGGCCAGATGACTACTGGCAAATCGGAATTTTAGTGATGAACATTTTTTAGAGTCGTTGATTGTGGTGTGCTAGCAACCGAGACGTTCTGTTTCAACTGACATGCGACATTTAGGCAAAGTAGATTTCGATTTACACAGTGTGCATTCCTATTTTTCCTTTTCCAATCTGGAGTAGAGCAAAATTTTAAACAAGAAGAGTTCTGTAAAAATAATTAAAAAAATCAAATTACACAAGGACACGTAAGCTTGCATATAAATACATGCGCAGTAAACAAACTGGGCACCGACGTGTCATCGGCGCGACTATGGAGACTGGGAACCAGTTGTTATATGTCAGATCTCTCAAACAACTTTACTATTGAAGAATGAATTCGCCGGTATTATTTATCTTATTTTCCAGTTTTCTTTATTGTCCAGTACTCTCCGAAGATTATTATGAATTATTAGGAATAGACAGAGACGCTAGTCATAAGGACATTCGGAAAGCGTTCAAAAAGTTAGCCCTAAAACTGCATCCTGACAAAAATAAGGTAAGCGTACGCGTGAGACTAAGGATTGTATCGCCATATCTTAATCATTGATTTTAATAACTGTACTTCGTAAATATCGAAATATTTTCTTTCCAAAGGATGATCCAAAGGCACACGACAAGTTTACTGTGATAAACAAGGCTTACGAAGTTTTAAAAGGTAGGCGACATTTTCAACAGAGTATATACTTTTTTCACGTGTTAACTGAAGTTGTCCTGTTCTGTAATTTTATCAGCTGGTTTCAATGTTTTCCAAAGCTCTATTGAAGCTCTTTTTTAAATCTGAACAGCGCTTCGGAAGTTGTGATTTTTTTCATGAGTTCCATTGCATTTTTGGCTTATCACACTGAAAATTAATGAGAGTGAGCCTATTTCTTTTAATTTCTCTGAGTATTAATTATTTTTCATAAAGTTTATTTTACTCGTAGATTTAAATTAATTCGTTCGTGCAGCTAAAAAAACATAGTATTTACATCTAGACAGTGTTGGTGTGTGATTTGCTTTGGTTGAGATAAAACTGAACATCATACTGTGTGATTCTTGAAACCGTCGCCTATGACAAAGCTTTCGTCGAAATTAGTAAAACATTTTATTATTCACGAAGAAATGAATCACAGGTTCTAAACATGAGAAGATCATTGCTAATAACGTTCAAGATGGCCGAATTGTATCTTTTAAGAGTGATGCAAGCTTGAGGGATGTTATTAAAATGAGAAGATAATTAGCTTTATGAAACACCGCATGCAATGTTCTGTTTATTATTTGTATGTCAAGGAAATTTATTCAGGCTAATGGAAGACAATCTTAATAGCAAATTTTAGGAACACAAATTATGTTGTTCACTTAAATTTAGACGCAGCTCACAAAACTTACATATCCACATCTGTGAAAAATTCGTGAAGCAGCTGCACTCTGCAATTCCAAATATATTTTCGCAAATAAAAAAAAAAATAGAATTCAGTGGTAGTGATGTTCATTAGGAAAAAAAGCCATTCATAATCTGAAACAAAGGAAATTAGAATGAGACTATTTGAGGTAAATTGAACACAGGTAAATTTGCTATGGTAATAGGACTGAGTGGAGTCCAATTCAATCTGTATTATCATAAGTGAGTGACAAAACTGGAGAACCACAAAGGCGGAGTCCAATTTGTTAAAAACAACTATGATTACAGACAGAATTGGACAACACAAAGTTGCATTAACAATAAATCAAAACTATTACAGAATTTGAGAAACAAACCAGCCATTGATCTGGGGAAATGCATAATAATAGCACATGCACATGATGCATACTGTTGAATTACACAGGCATTGATGCATATACTGTCCTCTCAGTGCCCAAGTTGGGCTAGTGATAACCAATCATGTTTGAGAATTTTGTTATATTTTTGATTAGAATCAGCATAATGTTGAACAATGTTCCTTAAAAGTGAATGATTATCTTGCATTTCTGAACTCCATTCTATGTATAGATGAAGAGCTTCGGAAAAAATATGATTTATATGGGGAAGAGGGGTTGAAAGATGACCACTTTGGTGGAGGACATTACCAGAGTTGGAATTATTTTAATGAAGAATTTGGTAAGTTTGCATGTTGTTGTTTAACCTTACAAAAAACGATTTTGCCAAGTTGGAAAAAAAATAATCATATTGAGTCAAAATACTCTTACTATTGGAGCATAAGGGCTGTAAGCCTTTATACAGGCCCAGGTGGCCCAAGGGGCAGGTGCTTAACTCCGGTTTCCATAGCATGAAGTGGCTAGGAGTACTGCTACTCCCCCCTGGATGAGATGCTAGTCCATCGCAGGGTTACCCTTAGCATATTTGCTGGTACCCATTTGTACACCTGGGTGAACAGGAGCTCTATGAGAGTAAAGTGTCTTGCCTAAGAACACAACACAATGACCCCGGCCAGGGCTCAGACCTGGACCACTCGATCCTGAGTTGAGCGCACTAACCATGAGGCCACCATGCCTCCTAATAAGGAGGATAAGGCACATAAGGGCTGAGCCAGGGAATATTGGTGCCAGGTTGTGGCAGTAGAGACCTAGCACAGTGGGGTCCATATAAAAGAGGCCAAGAGCTAATATTTCCCTGTATAGCATGAGCAAGCAAGGTAAGTCAGTAGTTTAATACGTGGCACTCAGACCAGGTTGGTTTATCTTGAATTTGCTGGCTTTCTTGGACAAAAATACACAGTTTGTATCTGGCAAAATCTTACAAACCAATCAGATTGCTTGGGTTTACTTCAAAACTACCTTGCCATATTTGGTGATTAACATTTATTTACATTTTCAGTAGTAGAAAATTATTGGACTAGTTTTACAGCATTATTTGTAAGCTAACAATAATTTGTTGGTAGTTATTTGGGATTAATGTAGTTGGCTCTTGGCCAACAAAAAGAGAGGAAAAAAAATCAACGGAATGGTAACAATAATTTACATCCTTGTGCTCTTCTTGCAGGGGATGTCTTGTCCTCTATTACAGACCTTAAACTTGCTTTCAACAGCTAGGCACTGAAAAGTGCCACCTCTTTTGAGCAGAGCCCTTTAAGTGTATTTTGTAAGTCAGCAATGGGTAATCACCAGTAACATTGTGTTCATAACACACACTCACTGTATGTTTTTTTTAAATAATCTCTTCCAGGTATTTATGATGATGACCCAGAGATTATCACTTTAAGCCATTCAGATTTTGGTAAGTTTAGTGACCTTAAATCATGCATGATTGCCTTACCATCATTTTGTTCAATAATCACAGATTTCCCCAACAGCTAAGTGACACTGGTAGTTTAGCCATGTAAGAAGAGGTTATGTTTTTGTGTAAAGGTTTTTATTGTAGGAGTGTAATTCTGTGGGTTCTCTTTTAGTCAAGAACGCATCAAAGTAGCCCCAATCAAAGCCAGGATTCTCATAACATTTAATCCAGAGTCCAGGATGCAGAACATAAAATCACAGTAGATATACTGGGCTTTATTCTAGGAGTACTAGTCTTATTAAAATTTTTTCATTTGTGTTATTTAGAGGTGTCAGTCGATGGAAGTGAAGACATATGGTTCATCAACTTTTATTCACCTTTCTGTTCACACTGCCATGATTTAGCACCAACAGTAAGTTGTCTTCATCGCATGACTACTTAATTTTTGGAGTTATTATGATGTTTTGGTTGTAATTTTGTTATATTGCATTGTAAAACAACAAATTGGCAAATGCTTGAACAGAAGGTTGTTGTCATGCTGTTTAATATTTTTTTCCAGTTTGTGTGAAACCTGGTGGCAAGGAGGTTACTCTTCAATAGAGTTTTGATGCATGTAGGAATCTTGTAAGGATGGTTGGAATTCCTACAGTTTGATGTAATTGTTGGAAATTTCTCTTCACAGTGGAGAGAAGTTGCTCGGGAACTTGAAGGAGTGATCAGATTTGGTGCTGTCAACTGCCAGGAAGAATGGAATTTGTGTCGACGACAAGGGATCCCTAGCTACCCCTCCCTTGTGCTTTATCCTACAGTGAGTCCATACAGTTTTCATTGTTCTTAAAAAAAAGTTATGTTTTGTAAAATTTACCAACATATCTTCTGTTGATGAAATTGTTTCTTTGTTATTGAGGCCTATTTTATCTTTTTCTACAGCATGAATTCCATCGTGGTCCAAGAAATACAGAAGCCCTTGTTAAGTTTATACTGGATAATCTGGAAGTTAACCTTTTTGATTTATGGGAAGGTATGTGCCTCTTTATTATTTTGCTACCCTGAGATCTGAGAGTTGATTTTTTCACTTGATGACCAGACATTTAGGGTTTTTTTTTTTTTAAGGCAAATTAAAGCATTTATTTAAATCTGATTTGCGTTACAACCACAGGTAACTTTGAGAAGCAGATAAACAAAGGCAATGAACCTTGGTTGATTGACTTTTGTGTTGCTGGAGGAGGTGAGGATTCTTTTCCTTGCAGATCTGAAGTAAATTTCCAGTATTTCTACAATCATTGTGTTTGTGTGTTTTCCAAATAGGATTAATTACAAATAAATTTCTCAGTTATGGAATGTGCTTTTTTATTTTTCACACAGACTGCCTTGACTCAGATACCAGAATTAAACTTTCTGCTATTCTGGTAAGAACTAATTATAAAATTATTATTTGCAATGATTATAATCAGAAGCATGTATGCTTCTGTTGCAACAAAATTGACTGCCACCTGGGTGTCTTAAAGTTAGCAAATTATTGGTAGAGTGCCAGACTGTAGTATAAGAAACTGAGGGTTGAAGCCCTAGATAAAAACAGTACTCCTTTGACCATAGAAAGTTGGAGGAGTTTGAATGTGCTTCATGTATCTTTGTGACCTGCAATCAACTGGTTAGTTAACCCTTTCACTTAGAAGATCTGATTGTTAATTCTCCCCTCTGGCTGCTTCACATTTCATTGTAAATTAGCTTCCAGAATTTGATGTTAGATCAAGAAAACACCTTCTACCTGATAAGTTTGAATATTCTCATAACTTCTTTGCTGGATAGTGCATGGATTTTGTTGGGAGAAATTACTTGCTGATCAACTCAGAGTTAAGAGTTAAGTGATTTTGGATAAGGGCTAAACTGCAGAGCTGATCTCCTGCATCTTGAAAGGAGTTGTTGGTGGGGGATTTTGTAGCCTTATGAAGTTTCTGAAAAGAGTAAGGGATATATAAAGTTTGCAGTGTTACTGTCTGGTCTTTGAATGGGTCTTGGCAAATCCACATTTCTAAGAAATCTGAACAGCAGCATGAACTTTTATCCTAAGTGACAACAACTCTCTGATGTATCTGCTTCAAAATCATGGCAGGATAAGTTAGGAAGCTTTATTATCAGTCCTCACCTAATGCTGTATGTGATTTCCAGGATAATTTGGTGAATATTGGTACTATTGATTGTGAAGCAAGTTCCCAGCTGTGTAAAGATGTTGGCTACAGTGATGACTTGGTGTACTTTAAGGGAGATGTTGAACCAGGCAAAGGAGAGGTACGTAAGCTGCTTTGTGACCTGGTGATGGTCTGAAATTCAGTGTGCTAAGCTCTATGTTGTTGCGTCTTCCACCTGTGGCACAGTGTTTCCAACAACCCTTGGAAAAAAAGTGACCCTCAAGGGATTATTTATCATAATTTACTAATTTAGTTTGCTTCTTATACTTGTCATAGGTTATTGACAGTTTAGATGCCCATGAAATTGTCAGTATGATTTTAAAGAAGCTTCCTGATCCTGTTAATATAGACTTGAAGAAATTTGAGGTGATGTATAATTTGCTAATTGAACAACAGTGAATGATGTATGAAATGTAACAAGACAAAAATTTGTACTGTTGACGGCAACTTACAACCTTAATGCTCTCTGATTGAGTTGTCTGATTATCTGCCTAAGAGTGTTCCTTAAAAGGACTGTAGTAGGAGAAAGAGCTTACAAATGAAAAAGAAAGAGATTATGAATAGAAAAAAAAAGAGGTTGACATTTCAACAGCCTGAGGAGAAGTCATCATTCAAGTCAGGTGATGACTGTTGCTGTCACTGTTTGTTTTTGACTGACAACAGTTCTAGATCAACTGTTAGCACTGGCTTAAAACAATTCCCTGTTTAATAGATGTTATTAGTTATTATTTTATTACTTCTTTCTAAGAAATCTCAGAATTTCTACAAGTAGTTAAGAGATTTCCTGTTATTGTTATTTTTGTAGGAACTTAGGGAAGAACTCTCCAGTACTACTGATCTTCCTTGGGTGCTGCATTTTGACAGAGGGCCAATGAACAGCATGGAAATAAGAAAGCTGCCAGCATTTACTTCAGATATTAACGTAAGATCCTAGCTCTCTTTGATTTTCGTTTTACCACACCCAGTCAAAAAGCTCACTGATGAGTTAAGGTTAGGGAAAGACTTAGCATAACCCAACCTACTTATTTGGCCAGAGTGACCTGGGGTGTTGCTTCTCTCCCCTGGATGGGATGCAGGTCTATTTTATCCCCTCCCCCCCCTTCCTTCCTTCTCCACCACAGCATTTGATTAAATTTCTCTGACAGTTCACCAATTCTTATTTATGCTCTTGGGTGGAGAGAGGGCTGGTGAGAGTAAAGTATTCTGTCCATGAACACAACGCAATCACCTGGCCAGGTCTCGATCCCAGACCTCTTGACCCATAATTCAGTGCGCTGACCGTCAGGCCGCCGCGTCTCCCATCCATTAACCCTTTACACCCTAACATCAGTATGCATATTCTCCTTACAGTCTTCCGGATATTTCCTATTCTGAAAAGGAGAATTTGTTTCATAATCAAGAGCTTCTCTAGTTGGTGATCATTTCCTTTATTCTCGTAACCTAAGCCTGTGAATTTGGGACATATTGTAAGGAGAAATTAGATGCTTGTCGCTCTTAGGGGCTAAAGGGTCAACGAATTATGCGATAGCGACTTTGTGATTTTAAAAATGGTCGACCAGTATGTTATCGTCTGACGTTGTTATTCGTTGTTCTTATCCACAGGTTGGTCATGTTGATTGTAGTAAAGAAGTAGAGATATGTCGGCGAGTTCATATCAGAAAGTTCCCCATGGTGGCCCTGTTCAAAATACATGGATACTATGAGTGGCATCATGGTAATTGATATTCGACATATTCTCCTTCGCAACCGTTTTTGGGGATGTTGGAATGTCACGCACCTCTCTTCCCACTCCCCACCCCTCCCCGAAAAGAAGTTTTCGCTCACAACCTAACTACAAATCTCTTTTTGGGGTAGCATCGCCTGACATCCTCAGTTACGGTGGCTCGCCAACTGATCGCTTACTCAGGAGTAAAAACACCTGTCATCTTGAATACTTACCTTCTCACTTTTGTCTCCAATCGGTTTAGTCACAAATTAAACCTGCTTTTTTTTTCTGTGCTTGTTATCATGTTATGCTTTACGACCCCCTTTTCGTTATTTATTTACACTCACGATGCTGTTTAAATCGCTGATCCAACAGCATTCAGGACGTTTGTCTTTCTTTAACCTGGCAAATGGCGTAGGTCACCAACGACTTCTCTGTAACACAGTGGTAAAACATTGAAGCCCAAACCCATGTAGATCCGGAGCCGATTCCGTGAGGTGGTGGGTGGGTGGGGTACTCAAATTTTCCTTTTTCGCACTGCTATAAACTTTCTGTCTTCCTCATTTGATGTATTCTTCTGTCTTTTTAACAGGTCGCTTCACTGCACATGATATTGCTGTTTTTGCTAAAGAGAGTGCTTCTTCTAGCGTGCAGACCTTAGGACCTGAAGACTTCCCGGCTAAAATCACTAAACCTAATCATCCATTTTTCGTTGATTTCTTTGCTCCAGTGAGTGAACAGTTTTGTACGTTTGTATGTATTGGCGATATTTTGACAGGTTGGCCCAGTTCATCTTAAAGCTGGTTCAAACGGTGGCCTGTGTTTACAAGAACAAGGTCAGATCACCTTATCACAGGGAGTTACGTTCCCTACTCTTCGCGACAAGTGCGTGGGTTCTTGAACGTCACTTGCTAACCAGTACAGTGACGATGCAGGAGACGGTGCCAACGTGGGAAATGTTTCTGTTTAGAAAGTTCATTGGAGTTTCGTTCACGTGTTTTTACAGCTGTTTAAAGACGTGTTTTTCATTTCTTTTGCTTTCCTTTTTCAGTGGTGTCCACCTTGCATGCGTCTGTTGCCTGAATACAGAAAAGCAGCTCGATCATTTGAAGATCACGAAGTTGGTTTCGGTACCGTGGACTGTACTATTCATTCCAACTTATGTCATATGGTAAGAACATGACCTAACAATGATACTGAAAAAACTTTTATTCCAACATCCTCTCCCGTCTTTCTCTGGGTAGCAAAAGGGGACACCCTCATCCCATTTCACGCACGAAGTTAAGAAAACTTCACGCGTTATGTATATAGAAGGAAAACTTCAAATCTCTCCGCCTGTTTAAAATGTTTCGGGAAATCTTGAGGTTTTCATGAACTGGAAGAAAACATTCACCAGTCACATATATTTCAGAAGGCAAATCACGCTTCACGCGGTTCATAAATTTACGAATCACGCTCGCCTTTCCGCAAAGTTCACGCGTCACAGTTTGGCTTTATCACGCGTCACGTCAAAAGCCTTTGTCTCGTATGCACACGTGACTATAATCTTGTGGATCTTCTGAAGAGGCCGTATCTCTAACGCCTTCTTATAATATTCTCGTGGTGACTCGGCTTACATACTGCACTCGTGTAACCAATCAGAACACAGAAAAATATTACAAAGAGCCAGTGAGGACTCAAAGTAAAAAAAATAAGTTTACCTGAAGCGCGGGAAAAAGGCGAGTAATCAAGTAGCGATTGGTTCTAATCTTGAATTTGATTGGTTGAGAAAGTGGCGCGAGTTTCCAGGGCCAACCAGAGAGCAAAGATCAGCAAAACCAACGTGACCCAGGTTTACCGCCCTTTAAATCCGCTTTAAGTAATCGTGAGTAATCTTAGTTTTGTATTCTTGTGTATGTGTTGTTAGTTATCAGTGAGAGAATGTGACTGCAACGATATCGCACATGTATCACATAATTACTTTTGGATAATTTTCTTCTTTATATTTCAGTATAACATACGCTCCTATCCAACGACGATATTATACAATAACAGCCTTCCTCATCAATTTACGGGCCACCACACAGCAGCTGATTTGGTGGAGTTTATCGAGGTTAGTTTTATCACACGTCGCACGATACTGTCGCGTCAACAAACTTCTTCACGAAAACAGGAAAAAAGTAACAACGATTTATGAGTGTTTTAGTACAAGCAGAGCAGGCGGTGAATTTTCAGTAAATGACGTCATTGCGCATAAGAGGCATTGGTGTAAGTTTTGCATCTGAGTGGTTTGCAGAATGGCGCGAGTATTAGGATTCCTCTCGACTCTCAATAGAAAAATTGAAAAGTGCCGCGGTAGGATAGGCTAAAAATGTTCGATGTTGTTTCCTCGCCATGTTATGGCGAGTAGCCATAATAATAATCTCTGTCTCGTTATTTCAGAACACCATGAAACCTTCGGTTGTACAGCTGACGCCTGAAACATTTAAATCACTGGTTGGAGAAAGGAAGAACGGTGAAACATGGCTGGTAGATTTTTATGCACCCTGGTGTGGACCGTGTAATGAACTGGCTCCTGACTGGAACAAGCTTGCCAAGGTGCTGAAAATGAAACACTTATTTTCCTACGCTTGATGAAATGATGCTGAAAATGATTATGAAATTGATTTTAACAATGATAACTTTGGTGGGAATTATATTTTTAAGTGAAATAATAATTAATATAACAGTTTTATCAATAGCGAGAATGATAGTGACGATGATGTTAGAAGTAATACTAATGATTATGATAATAATTAAAAACGATATTGATAAAAAAAAGAAAGAAATGATTGCGTTTTATGAGGTAGCCCAGCGGGATGTTAAAGAACCTCTTAATTACGATAAAAATGAAAAACACTCGGAGGAACTGTAATCACCTACTAACACTTCGTTATTAGTTTAACTTAAAGCACGTATCAGTTACGGACTTTTTGCATATGAATAATAGTAGCTAGCTCAATTCTTTAGTTTGATGAAAGGGCGAAAAGCAACTTGTTCATTGAATTAATTTTCTTCATATGAATAATCGATTCACACGCTCATTTTCATTGGTTGTAAGGGATGATCTATTAGAAGACAGACGCACAGGTGACATCACCATTAACAACAGTTTGCTTTTTATCATATAAAAACGAAGACTCCATGTTGTGGTGGGTCTGTTCAGTGATCAAAAGAAGACGTCAAAATGTGGCACGAGCGTCGGTGGCACTCTCGGCTGCGCCTCGTGGGCACATCTTGCCTTCATGTGAAATCTATTGCTGTAAAGAAGCACGGCGACGTGGAATGTGTTTGTTACTCGACAATTAACCCTTTAGACACTAACATCAGTATATATTTTCTCCACACTGTTCTCTATACATTCCTACAGCACTGACAAAGAGAATTTGTTTAACAATCAAGAGCGTCTTTAGTTGGTGATCATTTCCTTTATTCTCATGACCTCAATGTTTGTTTTGGGGCTGATACTTATAGGAGGAAATAGTTACTAATCACTCTGAGGGGTTAAAGGGTTAAGGAATTTCTTGCTTGTCGACTCGGCGGCCAGTCGTAGATTTCGTTGGATGCTCTGATGAAAATCTCTCAGAAGCAACAAGTTGATGTTGATTTTATACTCTTCTTTTTGCAGCAAATGCAAGGAGAAGCTGGTGTTGGGTCAGTGGACTGTCAAAAGTATCGATCCTTTTGCCAAGAGCAAGGAGTGAATTCATACCCCACCATTCGTCTTTATCCTCACTATTCCCAAGGATCCCGTACCTACGTGTGAGTACTTAGTAGATTTTTTTCTGGAACAGTTGTCATCTTAGTTTCGAATTCGGGTCAACACAGTGGTTTAAGATTCCGTTTTGTGAATTTTCTCAGGGGCCATCGCGGCTGGCGGGATGTAGATTCTCTATACAGCTGGGCATTCAAGTACCTTCCTTCGCTTGTAACGCAGCTGAATTATCAGGCATTCATGGACAATGTTGTCGACAGTGAGGATCCTTGGATCATCGATTTCTACGCCCCTTGGTGTGGCCACTGCATACAATTTGCTCCCCATTACGAAAAAGTGGCAAAGGTGAGCCAGTTTGGAAACAACTTCGTCTCAATATATATATATATATATATATATATATATAAAGAACATATTAGTAGTATATTGTTCTTCCATATCACTCTGTAGCGGGGGGGGGGGGGGGGGGAGGGGATGCAATACAGCAAAAACAGCATAAGAGTAAGGTAATGATTCGTTAACGCTGTACAGCAGTTTCACTCTAAAATCTTTGAGGCAATGGAGGTGTTATCTCAAGGGGCACTTAGATTTGCCATTTTTGCGAGCCCTTTACGAATATTTCAGTTGGACAAATATGGATTTAACCGTGAAACCTGAGCACCTTTGTTAGCTTTTAAGTCATTGAGAAGGGGAGAAACTCGCCTTCTCCTTCCTGGACTTCGCGCGGATAATAAGGCAAGAGTAAACGTTAGAGGCTGAACTGATGTGTTTATATTTCAATTCTTGTAGTTGTTAGAGGGACACGTCAAAACTGGTAAAGTGGATTGTGAACAGGAGTACCATCTGTGCTCAGAAGCTGATGTGCGAGCATACCCAACTGTCAAATTATACCTTGGGTCACCAGGATCTGGAATGAATCAGGTAGCAAGTCAATTCGCACTTAAAAGAAAACTGTCATTTTAAAAGCGTACGCTCAGAGCGCCCAGTGATGTATATATTTTTCGTAGACATTTTATTTCTTCATTCCTACATTCTTAGCCAGCATGGCGAGCGGTATCGTGTGTACGTTTTAAGGAAGGGAAGCCTTCGCGGTTCCCAGCTTATTTTCACGGGCTCGCTCCTTAGGCTTCAAAGCGCGCACCAAACCGCTAGCCACGCAGGCTATACATTCTCAGCTTTAAAAGGGGATAAAGGCGTATCTTCATTATTTTTTTAGCCAGTAAATGGGCACATGAATATAGACTCTCAAAACCCGAATGAGATACGGGACATTGTACTTCAAGCTGTGGAGGAATACAAGGCTGACTTGGAAGACGAAAAAAGAAAAAAGACAAAGACAAAGACAAAGACAAAAAAGGTGAGATGTTTGTATTATCCTTCTGCACTTTGTTGTCTTTAGATGTATTTGTAATTATTGTAATTTCAGCTCAGAGAATTTGGTTTTAAATCAAACAGTATCTTGTATGATAAATTTATCGTATCTTATATCTGTCTTCACACCACCCTTCTGTTTGGAATTGTATTGATGTGTTGGGAGAAATTTTTTGTTGGTCACTCCTGTAAGTGTGCTACTTCACAGTTATGGAGCTCGGAAGTTTGCCATTTGCAATGCGTGACAATCCTACAGGAAAAGAAAAGAAAAAAAGAAAGAAAATACTTTGATATATGCTTTAGAGGGAGTTGCGCATTGTTTTGTGGTCGCGTTTGCCGTTTGTAGATCCAATTTGGCGGCTCTACGATCCAATCTGATAGCGAAAAGTTCAATTTTAGTGTGAAAAAAAAGAGGAACAGGAAAGACTAGACTAAAAACCCTCTAGCTGAAGGAATGACGTACTTGATTTGAACCGAGCCATCACCGCTGCTCTATAAAAAGATTTGGGTGCCTTTTATGTTCGTAGAATTTGGTTTGTTTGGTTAACATGTCTTGTTTCCTTTTTTTCTGTTCCAGAAGAGCAAGAAGAAGAAAAATACTCCGGTACATGATGAATTTTAGAAGACTTAAAGAAACGTATCTCTACAATCACAAGAGTCTTACACCGGCCACACTCTGGACAACCTTTTTGAAATTGGTCAATTTTTAACGTTTGGTGTCCATTAGTTCATTATGAACGCCTTACCCGAGGTGCGGTTTGGTGAAAAGTTTGGCTGTATTACCCACTTGCACACCAAAGTCGAGATTTTATAGACAAGTAAAAGGAATTTTTATTGGTATTTTGAGCATTGTCCTCTCTCTCATCTCTCTATGACTTGTAGAATCGTTAATACTTCCATTTGTTCTCAGCGCGAGCTCAGGCTTGCCCAGTGCCCTTTGCAGCCGTGTAGCGTGGCATCTCGATAAATGGCGTTAGGGGAGACTAAGGCGCACGGGGGTTTAATAATTCAGGTCTCCTTTACTGGAAAAGCGCTACATCAAACGTAGCATCGTGTGTGGTGAGGCATCCTCTCTGTCTGAGAAATGCGAAGTGGGCTTGCAAACCCATAAATCACGTGCATTCAGTTAGCTCGAGTGGGCATCGCTGTTTTGTCAACAAATGTCTCGATTGTGAGATGGTAAACGTTTTTTTTGTAGCACGTGGAGATCGTGCTTGGAATAAATGACAGAGATTACTTAGGAGGGCTTAGGCTTACATCTAGGCTAGGCCGCAACGCCACTGTTCAGGAAGGAGCCCGCCAACCCCCCACCCTCCCTGCCCCTCTTCCCAATATTGCAAATTTATATCATAACAGTGGAACCCTGCTGACTCAATCTCCCCAGATAGTCAAAACATCGTTCAAGTTAGCGGCGGTGTACGAGTTAGTTGTTAATAAATGACTGAAAAAATGGGGTCGAAGGATCTTGTTCGAGTTACTGGCAAACGGGGTGTTTCTTCTACATCATCAGTCAGTAGAGGTTAAGTCATACTGGTTTTTAATGAAAAAAGAAGTAAAAAATCTGCGCACGAGGCAGTAGATTTAGGGAAGTTCGATCTTTTAAAACCATTGTTTTTTTCTGTTGTTGTTTTTCGGCGTTACCCTATCGTTGTGTTGTGTGACTCCTTTGTTGCATCCATCCTTTTTACACTGTATTTTTAAAATCTTCCTATCCCTGCCAGGCAATTTCAGTTTCATGTGAAAGCACATGTGATACGAATAGAAAAGCGACAAATAAAATATAAAACTGCGCAAAAACGACATCAATTTACGTCGAGAAAATTAGTAAACGATACTCAACGTATTATGTTTTGTTCCCAAATCCGCTCTTCTGTTATCAATCACGTGAATATCGCGAGGTGCATTCCTTGCGTGATCTTTTCGACACGCGCGCGTTAAACGAGGTACGTAGATTTGACTTGTTACCTATCCTTTGAACTTGATTGCAGACTTCCTATCAAATGATAAAAAATAGCCTTCGCTCTTCACTTTATGGAATTACATGGTGTGTTAGATAGTGCGAGAAGAGAACCTCGATGGAAATCTTCGCTTTATATTCCACATGGAATTCAATAGATCGGGTTACTTCCTCGACAAGTATGCTTTCGAAAGTTCATTTTACTGATGTTTGATAATTTTAGGGCCCTGATAACCTCAGACAAGGGCCATAGAATCGACATAGGTACTTGAATGATATTACGTACCCAACAGTTTAGCATCTATACGTGGGAATACGTTAGTGGATTGACACGTCTACGTTTAATGGCGCGTTGTTTTGGTATAATTTGGATATAATTTTAAACCCTAGATTTTTTCTTGATGCTGTGTTTCCGCGATTTGATATGATTCGGTGGAGACGGCTTTAAAAGACATCTTCCTTCCATCCTAACACAGGTGATCATACATTAATCTTACGAATAATATTATTGTTTGATTTAGGCTCCATTTGACAACGCACTCTAGTTAAAAACTTACTACTCTCATTAAGTCTTGCGCCAATCAAAGATCTTAATTTCCAGTAGGTTTGTATGTTGAAAAATTATATTCGTAATTTGAAATGCATATGAAGACAATGACATGCCTAATGTGGACAAAAGAGTTGGTAATTTTGACTCGAATTAACTTTCATTTCTTCCTTGACAACGTAAAATTTTCATTAAAATTATCGAGGTACATGATTGAGGATTTACGGTTACTGAGATGTCGGTTGGTGCCTTCTGTCACATATAATCGGAGAGAATTTGCGCATCGTGGGTATCGAAACTTCTTCCAACCATCGCCATGTTTTTGAAAGACCTTCGGTAAATTTTAATTGTTAAACGTCGCGTAGACAAATTTAAGGTGTCGCAAAATGAAAGGGTGCTAACCTTTTGCTCGTGAATGGGAGTAAATTTTTCAGGTAAGTGCAAGTGAATTACAGCGAATGTATTTGTCTTTCAGAAATATCCACAGTGAAAGGTTCCAAGCGATCATGGCGATGTTTTGAAGGCCAGCCAAATTCTTTGTGAACAGAACTAGTTTACTGATCATTTTATGCCCAAATTCAACGAAATATTTCTCGAACTTCAAGGTTCATCGAGCAAAGCGCGTTGTAATTACAACGGCAATTTGTGGGGAGGGGTTGAGGGTGGATGACAGGCGCAATTTCGACTCGGAAATGCTATTTTTACACGACTTGTCTAAACATAATCTCGAGAAACAGTTAACAGCATGACATCAGCGGAAATGTTAATATAGATTTTGATGTTCGGTCATTGAATTTGAGTGGTTTAAGCGAATGCTTTTTGCTCGGCAACAGAGCATTTCCATCTCTATTTACATCAGAATATTAATTTGACAAAGTACCTTAAGTGTTTTATGGGGCAAAAGTCGTACTGAAGCTTTTATTTTGGTAATCCTCGATCCAGGTTAAATTCAATTGTTCCTCAAGTGCAGTCGATGAGATTCCTAGCGGCCAGAATAATTTTCATTTTGGATTAATAACAAAAGAATGAAAGCTGGTCCCGGAGGCTGTAATTACCGAATAGCTTCTTTGCGTTTAAAAGTTCGAAAAAAAGCAGCGCTTCGTCAAAGCATTCTTGTAGCGAACACTTTCCGCACTCTTGTCTATCAAAAGTAGTGAGACCCGTCTTTTAGTGATCCAGCGGTGTTCTCTGATGAAATCCAGATCGAATTTTCATTAGAGACCGTGAGCATGTTCTCTATATTTTGATCACGTAGGAAGGAGCGCGCCAAAACGGAATCACCATCTCCTTCCTCCGTAAAGACCGGCTGATTTTTTAAGCATCTCGAGAACATAGAAAAAGGTAACGACAAACGCGAAGTCCAAAAACTTAAATTCTTTTTTCAACCGTTTGAACATTTGAAATATTTGCATTGGCCGTGAGAAAGTTGCTATTCTCATGAGGTTGGTTTATAATCGTGACGAAAGAGAGTGACCCCGGTCAATCTATACTGTTTGCGCATGATAAATAAATTGAAACGAGAGCTCTTCTGCATGAAGCGGATTATAGACCGGGTTTTCAGAGCTTGTCGCGCAAAGCAGAGCAAAATATGGAAATGCACGAAAATATGTACGGTATTCGTGGTGGTCTAATTTATATTTCTGTTGCATGTTTGTTCAGTCCCAAAAGAGGTGTGTTTGTTATACTATACAATAGCTGTTATCTAAATAATACGAACATTGCCTAACGAGAAACTAAGGGTCCTTTTTTGCTTTGTCAGTATATCAAATATTCAAAACCAAACTACTCTAAAATTGCCTCACGTCAATGACTTTCATACGCCGGAGGCATAATACGTTCGGCTTTTTCGTCAGAGAAACTACGGTATTGTGCCCGTACGATCCGCATGGTGATTAAGTGTGAATTGTCCCGTGGAACAGTTAGGCATTATCTAAAATTAATCTTTATTACAAAAGAACTAGAATAAAGCTTTTTGTTAAAGCCACCAATCGCTAAGCACTGATCAGCTCGAATTCCGAGAGCCTCCACTCAGTAATTTACATGTAGTTGTACTACATTGTGTCGTCTGTTCAGTTGGCAAGCAGATAAAAATTTTGACGACAGCCAGTGGAGAAGGGTTTGTTGTTCACGTAAACAACGAACAGAAGTGTAAAGCTTTTCTTTAACTCATAGTTTGCTCATGGTTTTGTCCCTAGAAAACAGGCCAAGTCAGATGAAGACGTCCAAATCCACTTTGCAGTGAATAAATAATTCCACATTTTAACCCGGGTTTTCAAAAAGGTTAGTACACCAATTATCCTTTTTTTTTCGCTTATATCTTAGAAATGTTCGATCGAAACTTCGTTGCTTGCATCTCGGGTGATCTAAGTCAGTAACAAGGTAGTTTAAGTCCCTGGCTCACTAAAAGTGATTGTAAGCACATTAATATTAAATTCTCGCTATTACTATAAACGGGAAAAAGGAAAAACGCAACCTAGAAAAATTTCATCATGATATTGTTTAAATGAGTGCGCCAAGACGTTACGAGTGGGTTAATTGTGACATAGAAGACTTGCTTCCGAGTGAACGACAGCTCAAAAAACTCTCTACGGTGGCTAATTAGAATTATAAACTCAGCTGGTTAAGCCAAATTGTGTTAAAACACCTCCCACCGACGCAGCATCACAGTTTAGAAATTAGAGGCTTTCCGCACTAGCGGACAAAATCAGAGAACACATTTTATCGTGAGAAATTTATGTTTTGTCGGTTGCATTCACATTTTTGCCTGATTTCAGTTCAATTACACGCTGGTCGCAACTTTTGCGACAAATGGTCGACAAGTTAATTACGGTTTTGTTATGTAGTCGAGTTTGTCCAGCTTTTGCCCGGGACAAATTTCGTGTAATGTGCATTTGAAGATTTGTCCGCTTCGGACGAAATTTGTTAAGTAGCGACAATCCTTCTGCAGTTGTTGGTGATGACAGAAAATTTGTCGAAATAAACAACTTTTTCGTCAGTGCGGAAACACCTTTATTCGTTTTAATTCGAAGGCTGACCAAGATAAATTTGGACTGACCAATCTTATCCAAATTTGCTTTATCCAAATTCCAGCCGAATTCAGTTCATGAAGAGACATTTCCCCTCCAACTCCTCAAAGTATTTTAGACTCTTGGCATAGTACATATGTAGTTCATTGTTTGAAGGAAAGTCTATTTATAGACGCCCTTCTTTCTGTCTAGCCAAGTTTAATTCAAGAATTTAAGACATTTCGCCCTTGCTTACCAGGAGCGATTGCTGCTTTTGGTTTGACCCAATGTGTATAAGTTACGAACGTATGTGAGGAAAAGCTGATTCCTGAAGCCTTTTTCGGAATGTCGCCGGTCCTGAAGAGTTGTTTACAGAATTGAATTGACTTGAAACGATGAAACGATCAGAAAACACAAGTGTGGAGTGGTTTCTTTAAGCTTTGACTCGCATTACAGTTCCTGTGCATAAAAATTTCAAATACCACTTCCGGCCCACGTAAGTCAAGGGCCACTTTCCAGAAAGCGCTCTAGAACCATCATTTTTAGCTAAATTGGGCGTGAGGGAAGACTTACCTAATCTGAATACATACAGATGCTTCCATTTGATGCAGACGTTGTAATTTATGTCACCTTTGTTAATCTAATATGCGAAGGAAAGCTCCCATGGTGTCTAAATTTTGCGGCCGACTTATTAAATAAATCTTGATATTCCGGCGCGAACTCATGAAGCCACGTGCACAGATGCAAGTCAAGTTTACCTCTTCGCAGGTGCTTCCGCGTTTCCCTTATTATCATGACGTTGCATGACGATTTTAATATATTGGCCAACATGCATAACCACGCTTACTAATATTATTTCCTTTTTCTCCCACAGCTTTTCGTAAGACGAAATTTTTTCATCGTGTATCCGCAGACTGTCTTTAATAGGACACAGTTTGGTTGAACACAGTGGTTTCGGTTCAAAACAAGATGAGGATTGGGGATCCTACACGGAATTATTTCTCTAAGGTCCGCTGTCGCTACATACTGCTCACCATAGTTCTCGTAATTGTGGTGGCACTCTATGTCACAATGAACTTAAAAAACTATGGTCTTTACACTGGAAATCATCCTTTCTTCGCAGCTCAACCGTGTCAATACCTCAACTCGAAAGAGAAAGGACAACTTTTGAAGATGGCGCATACAGTGCATAAGATTCTTGATGGCTTTGGTATAGAACATTGGCTCGTTTACGGATCTGTTTTTGGCGCTGTTCGGGCGCACGGCCCTTTGCCGTGGGACAATGACGTAGATATTGGTTTTAACGGCTCAGGGACATTCGCCACAATGGATTTTAACAAGTTTTTAGCCGCTTTTAAAGACAATGGACTGAAAGTTTATTACAGAAGGTGGATCACAAGCAACGTGATGAAAGTTTACAAGGATGATCAACCTCATATCAAAGTAGACCTGTTTGCCTTTTACAATTATCGTGGTTGGATGAAGCGCGCCGGGCTAGAAACGTGGATCTTTGCATTGAATTATAATTTACACGATACGTATCCGGCGAGACTAGTAGAAAAGCCTCTACCTATGGTCCGATTTGGTTACTTTAAATTACCGGCTCCAAGGGAAGGCCTTACAATTCAACAATACCTTTACCCCGACGACTGGTGGAAAGAAGTGAAACCTGTCACCTGTAAGTAACGCAATATTATGTTTGCTGCGTTACAAGCTACTAAATTGCCCCGCACAAATGAAGAACAGGAAGATCTTTTTTGTCTTCAATGTTCGGTATCGTTTCTCGTTTGTTTTACTACAACTTTATTTTTTTTTACTCAGTTCCACTCATTTTTTGGTGCTGAAAACTTTTGAAGTAAAAATTATTCAAGCTCTCCTCTTAGGACTAAAATAGTTCGCTCCTAGACATTTTTCTTGGTCTCAAAGTTATCATTAATTGAATTTCTATTTTGAGAACCTGTCACAAAATGGTTAAGTGACGTTCAAGATTTTGATGCGAAACGATATATTTTTGGAAACCGAAAATTACGACTCATCCGAGCGTTAAAAATTACAGGAAATTATTATGAAATTCCCATTAGACGAAGAAGGCGATACTAAGTTTTAAATAGTTTTGCCCTCTAAATAAATCTTTCTTGAGCTATCTTTAAAAATGTGATCATAACACGAAATGTTTTATTTGATTGAACTGAATTCAAACATACAACCTATCGTTTTCATAAAAATTTTTCTGAAGTCTTAAGAAGCATCCGAGTTAATAAGAAAAACGTAATTTCAACTAAAAGTTTATAAATCAGGAAGGTATCATAATCTCGGACCTGGGCGACTCCCCTGGGGGAATTTTCCCAGCAACCGCTGATCTTGGGCCTCGTTTTCATGTTATTTGCATATTTTGTTTTCATCTTTGGTTAATTTAAATTTGCCCTAAACACCTCCTAGATTCAAATGCAAATTCTCTATACATTTCTTATGGAACTGGTGAGAAGAATCTGTTTGGCAGTCAGGAGCTTTTCAAGTTGGCAATCATTTCTTTTTTTCTCATTATCTAAATGTTTGATTCAGCAGTGATGAAGTAAGGAGAATTACGATGTTAGATATCCTACATGAAAGAATGATAAAGATCACACCAGCTTAATTCATCAGAGTTTTTAGCCCAGGCTTTTGACACGTCACGCAATCCGCCCTTTGCGAGGATTACGTGACAAGAAAAAAAATTAGTCTTTAAAAGGCCACAGAGTTATTATTTCTTGAGGTTAATTTTCATTCGGGATAGACGGACACTCACATACTTAATCGTGTGATTATTTATATTGGGATACAACAAATAAAGTATAGATACACTTCAACGTCAGAATATGATCTTGAGCATTTATTACAGAGCAAAGTTTTTTTTTTTTCTGTGCGGCGGTTAACTAAGCCGTCCGCCAGCTAAATTCAAGAGATATCTTGCTGTATGGTACCACCACGTTCGCGGGCTATTTCTTCTCAGTCTAGCAGGTGGGAAAAAAAAAGAGACCCTGGGAACCAGGTTGGATCAGGCGAACGCACGAGATCTTTCGGGAAGGAGCTTGTGCTAGCCAAGCTGGAGTTTAGCTCCAGTTTTTCGTGGTAAGGGAGGAGAGGGGAGGGGGCCTTTGTTGCCTGTGTTTCAGCGGGGCTCGTATTCAAGCACAGGCTAGCACTTACTACAAAAAGGATATCTGCCATGTAGATTGTTCGGATTCGCGCGTTTTGGCAAATCTGAATTATAAGCTTGCAAAAAAGTTTACGTCACAAAGAAGGGGGGGAGGGTAAGGAGTATATGGCCATCCATAGAGCTCCTCCTCAAAACACAATCAGCGGAAACGTTCAAGTTTTTTTTATGACTTTCTTTTATGTTTCGATTGATCTCCATATATCTTAACCCCCCCCCCCCCATCACCTTCCTGACTGTCACATAATTTCGCCTGCGTGGTGTCAGTCTATCACCGTAACTTTGAAATTACCCGAGAAGAAGACAGGTAATTAAAAATATGCCTCGCGAAGTGATACCGTATTGTACATGATTGATAGCGATCTGTTAAACTTCCATGGAAGTTTTAAACATTTTTACGAAAGATGTAATGCCTTTAAAGAGCAAATACACGATTTGAGTCACGAATATGTCTTTACTTTGATATCCAATTTTTTTTTTCTGGAGTAATTTCATTTCTTCCTGGGTTTCATGGTAATCATAAACCCCTAAAACATTAGCTCAAGGCAGGAGCCCATAAGTAATGGGCTCCTGCTTAAGGACATACCAAAAAATCGCTCTACACCCCCAGCTAATTTAACACTCGCTAATTATATTTGTGCTGGTGAACTTGACGTATCATTGCGATCTCTGAATGAAGTCCAAATTCACGATTTGCGTGACGAATATGTCTTTACTTTGATATCCAATTTTTTTTTTCTGGAGTTATTTCATTACTTCCTCTTTTTCCTGGCAATCATAAATCCCTAAAACATTAGCTCAAGGCAGGAGCCCATAAGTAATGGGCTCCTGCTTAAGGACATATCAAAAAATCGCTCTACACCCCCAGGTAATTTAACACTCACTAATTATATTTGTGCTGGTGATCTTGACGTATCATTGCGATCTCTGAATGAAGTCCAAATTCTAGGGATATGGAGTTGATGACTCCAAGCTTCGAGTTCGATTCAGTTGGAAAAACAAAGATGTCGTGTAAAAGTTTTGCCAGACAAGTACCATAAACATCACATTCATTGCGTTGATTTATCCAATGCGAGACACTATGTTTAAACAGTTGCACAAACACAAGTACCTCTTCCTCGCCGGACAATCTCGAAAATACGACCCGATAAGAGCTTACATATAATGTGTTGTGAATCTATCCACATACCTAGCCTGAAGCCTGTCTTTTGTTCTTGCTACAGTGGCCATTTTACAGCTGTTTGGTGTTTGATGCTCCAGGGCTCTTTCTTATACATACAACACCCCAAAGGGAAATAATTAATTAACTTTCAGTTCTAAAGGAAATGGTACACCAAGGAACCAAAAATGACACATGGATTGCGCATTTAAATGAACTATACACGTATTACAATACACGTCTTTAAACTTGATGATCACAGTGCGGCGAAACCTTCGAGTGACGTTTCATTTGGAATAGTCTCCCGCAGTAATGGGCTCTTGTCTCCCGTGAATTTGACCATTTCAAGGCATCTCATAGGGCCGGGTTATCAGGTAGAGAAATTAGTCTAGATCGGTTTAGTACAAACTCCATAGTTGTTCCTTCTTCTTTGGTAATCTGGTCTTATCAACTGAGTTGATAACGTAAATTTGTCACCGTAAAATTCGTCTTTAGCTGACGTTTGGAGTTTTAGCCCCCTTCAAAGCGAATGACGAATCAACTCAGTTGATACTTAGATATCTTACAATATTTAAGACCACAGCAAATGCTAAGAACAGAATCGGCCTCAGAATACCTCATTGTAAAAGACGATGTATTTTTCGTTTTTCCGTTAGATCTATCTTTAAGACGTTATTAGTGGAGGGGGACTCTATAGCTGGGAAAATCACAAGCTCAGCAGAAGGTACCTAAAGCTTTTACTTAATTTCTCCTTTATTCCCTTAGTCTGACCAAAAATGACACGACTAACCGTATCTCTCTGGTACTTTTGTTTTAAATACTCCATCGGTTAGTGTGCATGTGGGTAAATTGACCATGGAGGATTAAATTAAACATCTCCTATTAGAACACTAACCCAAACACTTCCACGACCTTAGGCTACTTATAAAGTCAAAGTAGAGTTTAGCCCACAGAAGAAGTTTCTTAATGTTGACCTGTTTTGTCAACGCGTTCTATTTATTCATTTATCGACATTTATAAATTTCGTTTCTTTAAATGATAATGAAGAGGGAGATAACGGAAGGACTGTGATGAGACTAATCTCATCAACTTAATTTGGTTTCTTCATTAGCAGCATCACAGCCTTTACGTTCTTGTCTGTCCTGAAAAGCTAAAGGAATTGATGATGATACACAACATGTGTCCAAAACCCTTATTTCGTGCCAAGCACATCATCGCACTCACTCTGGTTATATCAGTCCCGGTAACACTTTATGTCTCTCTTAGCATGAGAGGGTATGCGAGTTACACTGGAAGAAATCCTTTACAACCTGCACAATGTCAGTACTTCAGCAAAACACAAGGAGAAAAGTTCTTAAATCTGACTTACAAAGTTCACAAGATTCTCGAACAGCTTGGCATAGATCACTGGCTAATGTACGGATCAGTGTTTGGGGCAATCCGCGTTCAGGGTCCTTTGCCATGGGATTATGATGTTGACATTGGTCTCAATGGTTCAGAATGGATAGCTTCGATGAATTTGGACCAGTTTGTGTCAGCTTTTGAGTCACAAGGACTGAAAGTGAATCAGAAATCGTGGACCAGTCTACGTTTGCTTAAAATTACCACCGACGATCTGCCTCTCTACAAGGTCGAGTTGTTTGTTTTTAATAACCATCGTGGATGGATGAAAAGAGCTGGTTGGGAGTCATGGCTATTTTGGCTGCATTATAGATTTTACCATACATTTCCTACCCGATTAATAATAAAACCGCTACCACGAGTTCCATTTGGTTTCTTCAAAATGCCGGTACCCAGGGGAGGGATTGAGATTCAACGATACCTTTACCCAGACGATTGGTGGAAAGAGTTCAAACCTGTCGCCTGTGTTTAACGTATTCTACCAAGCTTTAGGATTCCATCTTTTAACCTTGAAAGTTCTCCCGTATGCTACACTGAGAGAGTCTATTGTTATTAATTTCATTAAAGATTGAAATTGTTCATTTGTTTCCGCTACGAGCGTGTTGTCCTTCTCTTGTTACTGGAGCGGCGCTTTAGCGGGTGGGAGCGGCACTCAAAAGAGCCTAGTATCTAGGAAATATGGACTGAAGTCCTGTATAAACTTGAAATTTATTCAGATTCATTATAATTGCAGTGAACATATGAAGATGCAATCTTTTATCATCGTAAATTGCTCTTCAGAGTCAGATAATGATGAGTTGAACATAAAATTTTTATGCCAAAGTTGTCTCTTTGAATATAGGGAACACAACTGCCCTCTGTTATACAGAACTTAGAATAAATAAAAATGCTTTTCGCTGGAAGATAACGTTTTTCGAGTCACCTATTTGCTTTTTCGTGTTTATATGCATTCATTTAATGGTATTCTAGTTAAAAGATTTTGATGTCTAACATGAAAATGAAAGATACCCGGGCATGATTGTTCTTTCAAATGGGAAACACTGGTTTCGGTAGTTTTTGCAGTTATGAGAGTGACAAACCTCTAAATGCCTCAAAAACTTGGACATTTCCTCTGCCATGATAAGATACATTTGCACGTTCGCTAATTACAATGTCCTTCTTAAAAATCATTTGCAACACTTTGTCAAACATACTTGACCATATTTCATGAAAACTTTCAAGTGCATGTTCCCTTCATACTTGTCCACAAAATAAAATCCAAATACAAAATATCTATATTTGGTCGAGCGTGAAAGCTTAGCTCTGGTTGGGTTAGTGCTTATACCCTCAGAACCCCTAACCATCTGTTGAGGGCTTTAATTACTGCAGTTTAGGGACCGGGACATTGGTATATATGTCGGAGACTTTGATTCGTGCGTGACACATGTCAGATGAGTGTGAACATTATGTCAAGAGCTAGAAGCACCGCCTGTAGTGATTTTGGACATTGATCAATTTACATGATCAACGCAACCTTGAATGACCTTTTAAATCAGCACTCAGCAACACCCAATCACAATGTAGAGAATATCGTATAAGAGAATGATTTCTTACAAATTTTGCAGAGTAGCTTTTTACACACCCGTTGTACATAAGCGAATACGCGAGTGGAATAAAACAGTTTGATTGAGTCTAGTTCGTTAGAATTATATCCCTAGTAAAGAGGGTAAAGTTTACGAAATATATAATAATCTAGTTTTAGTTTTATAACCCACTAAGGCAAACATGTTCTCCTTGTGCCAAACACGTGAATGGCGCTTAATTCAAAATAAATGCATTGGAAAGAAAGAAAGCAAGAAACGCTTCTCTATTAGTCCTAAGGATTAAAAGGTAGAAGGAAGGCACTTAACATAACTGAGTGACGCTCACCTCCTTTTTGTGATTTCATACTTACCAAAATGGATTATGGTGTGATTTTACCCTTTCCAGAAACCTCTTGAGACAAAGTGTTGCAAACATGACATTTATAACTATCAAAAATTAATGCTACACATTCAAATGAAATATACCAAATACCATAGTATAAAAAAAAAATATCAGCCAATGACAAAACTTGTTTTCTGTTTTCTTACAATTTGTTGTACCATAAGTTAAAGGAACCAGTGTGGGTTGCCTTCAAAGGTGAGTGCAAGATTTCCCTCCTCCCCCCCCCTTCCCGCCCTGTCCATATCTATAAATGAGGTGACTTTGCAAGCGACTTTAAAGTGAAATTTCGCTGTTTTAGAAGTTAAAACTGACTGGACCATGTAAAAAGAGGACAAAATACCCGAGAGAAAAAGCTTGGATCAATGTCAGTATCTGAGAAACTGCTGACTTACCCCTCCCCTACCCAAAAACAGTCAACTGATAACAAATTAGGATTCGTGTTGGGTTAGGGGAAGGGTAGGTGCGCAGTTGATCAGATACTGAGACAGATCCAAAATCTTTAAACACGCGACTCTTTTACTGCCGACAGAAATGTTGATCAGTTATAGAAATAAGATTTAAATCGCCTGGAGGAATGCACGAAAAAAAAAAACATTTTTTTTTGTATATCATATGTTCAAAACACTCCAGATATAGCCTCTGACACAAATTTAAACAGCTTAGGACAAAACGAAAGGGAGGGGCTAGTCGCTTGAAAGATAAACTTTATTTTTGCCTTCTGCTTTTAAAGAGTTTGTTTTCCGTTCTCTTTTGCAATCGAACAAGTGTCCATCGCTCGTCATGACATATTTCAAAGGGCGTAAATGTTAATTTTTTTTCCTTCTTTGTGATTTATTCAAGTTGATATTGTTGTATGTGTTTCGGAGGGTAACTCATTGGACAGTTAGCATCTCCGCGGAGGAAGTTTGGGATAATTGGAAGGAAGAGATAAAGTGTATGATAAATGCAACTAAACCAAATTGAAGAGAAGGACTTCTCGAGTTACAAAAACATTACCACGGACGGAAATAGCATCAAATGGCATTCGCAAACCCTGGAGCATATATTTAGCGATCAAAACATTTTTCAATTTCTGCAACCTTGTTTCGAAAAAACCTCGTTAAGGTGAGCATTTGAGCAGTGTTCTCCATATCTTGGGCCATGCGTCAACGTGTGCGTTTTGTAGAATTTGGCTCAATTAATCCTCTGACAAAACACCAGATCTACCATTTAGCTGGATCTAAAGAAGTTGATAGAGAAAGGGTGCTCGGTCTTTCGCTCGGTTTTTCTTTGGCACAATACTGCCCTATGAAGCGTAACGAATAATTCTATCTATGCACTCGGCTTTAAGACGCCATTGTAAACAAATGTTCGTGAGTCCAAACGCAGATGGTGATTATTCATTGATCGTGGTCACAAGGGTCGGGCCACAGCGAAGGGCGTTTAGTAGTTGAGGATGCATTAATTTGTGGTCCGTTTGTGGCCATAAGGGTCACAACCTAGAGTGTTCAATGGTTGAGGATGCATTAATTTGTATCGCAACCTGAATTGGGTATAAAAATGCTACAGCCTTAAAATCCAGACGCCCAATGCAATAACGGCTGAATTCGCATTTCCGCTGAGGAAACGAGAAAGGTAGTCATCTGATTGTTTTAGCAACTGAGCGGACATTATGCCGCTGTTTGCAAATATAACGATTCCTGATAGTTCAAAAACTCATTAATAATTCATAAGCCCATTAACCTATCAAATGGTAGATAATACATCACATGCAGTGACTTTATATCGATAAACCTCATCCTTATTAGTATGCGGTGTTTTATCAGATATAAAGACACTGCACGTGACTTATGAATGTTTTTCTCGTATGCTAATTTCTAACGTTCACAAAAGCATAATTGTTATGAACTCTCTTGACTCACGCTTTTCCAAGAATGTTTTTGAAGCCGTTCAAAAAACTCGCAGCACGTGTTTTATCGGGTCAAAAACCACTCGGCTACGCCTGGTGGTTTTAAACCCGATAAAACACTCCCGCTCGTTTTTTAAACATTACATAAAAGATACTTAACTTAGGTCGGATAGCTTTGTAGTATTCAGTATTCTTTATGAAGACATGAGTATGATAACAACAACTAAAATTCGCATAAAGAGGGCAAGTTTTTAAAGAAACTGTGGTGCTGCGTCGGTGGGAGAGTACAGCAGGTAATTAAGTGTAAACAATTGAGTTAAAAACGTAAATTGGCCACCGCAAAGAAAAAAAAAGCTGACGTTTCGAGCGTTAGCCCTTCTTCAGAGCGATTGGCGAAGAGCTAACGCTCGAAACGTTAGCTTTTTTTACTCTTTACGGTGGCTAATTTACGTTTTCAACTCAGTTTTTAACACTAAATTACCTGCTAAAATTCGCATAGCCGAAGGAAGCCATTTTCGTTTATTATGGCTCACTTCCGTTGCTTCCGTTCAATTGCGAACGAACACCTCTCCAATTGTCTCCATAAATTGATTAATGTTTTGTGAATACATATGATTATATCAGGGTTGAAGGAAGGAAAGCGTCAATGCACAGCGAACAATGCACAAAATATTTGCAATCACAATAACTACAAAACTCCAGAAATAATGAATCATTCAGCGACGGAAATAGCATCAAACTTGTATGAGAGAATGCACAAATTAAACCTCGCAAAGCATCGTTAAGCAGACATGTCAGGACATCTTTCGTTATCCAAGGCCTTTCGTTATAGAAAGACAATTATAAAGTCAATGTAGGCCGAGTTTAGCCCACAGAAGAAGTTTCCTAATGTTGACCTGTTTTATCTACGCGTTCTATTTATTTATTTATCTACATTTATAAATTTCGTTTCTTTAAATGATAATGAAGAGGGAGATAACGGAAGGATTGTGACGAGACTAATCTACTCAACTCATCAACTTAATTTGGTTTCTTCACCAGCAGCATCACAGCCTTTACGTTCTTGTCGCTCCTGAAAAGCTAAAGGAATTGATAATGATACACAACATGCGTCCAAAACCCTTATTTCGTGCTAAGCACATCATCGCGCTCACTCTGGTTATATCAGTCCAGGTAACACTCTATATCCTTCTTAGCATGGGAGGGTATGCGAGTTACACTGGAGGAAATCCTTTACTACCTGCACAATGTCAGTACTTCAGCAAAACACAAGGAGAGAAGTTCTTAAATCTGACTTACCGAGTTCACAAGATTCTTGAACAGGTTGGCATAGATCACTGGCTAATGTACGGATCAGTGTTTGGGGCAATCCGCGTTCAGGGTCCTTTGCCATGGGATTATGATGTTGACATTGGTCTCAATGGCTCAGAATGGATAGCTTCGATGAATTTGGACCAGTTTGTGTCAGCTTTTGAGTCACAAGGACTGAAAGTGAATCAGAAATTATGGAAGATGAAAAAATTGCTTAAAATTACCACCGACGATCTGCCTCTTTATAGGGTCGAGTTGTTTGTTTTTAATAACCATCGTGGATGGATGAAAAGAGCTGGTTGGGAGTCATGGCTATTTTGGCTGCATTATAGATTTTACCATACATTTCCTACCCGATTAATAATAAAACCGCTACCACGAGTTCCATTTGGTTTCTTCAAAATGCCGGTACCCAGGGGAGGGATTGAGATTCAACGATACCTTTACCCAGACGATTGGTGGAAAGAGGTCAAACCTGTCGCCTGTGTTTAACGTATTCTACCAAGCTTTAGGATTCCATCTTTTAACCTTGAAAGTTCTCCCGTACGCTACACTGAGAGAGTCTATTGTTATTAATTTCATTAAAGATTGAAATTGTTCATTTGTTTCCACTACGAGTGTGTTGTCCTTCTCTTGTTACTGGAGCGGCGCTTGAGCGGCGGCGGGTTGGAGCGGCACACAAAAGAGCCCGGAGGGTTACTGCCGCCCGATGTGCGTTAAAATACTTCCGTTGCCGCGTACATTTTATGCGTTACTCAGCCTATCCTGACCCTGTATGGCTGGTAGTTTGGTGGACGTTTGTTTGAAAAGAGAAGTCTGCCATGTGCTTCTTATCACTCCTGCATAGCCTGCAAGCAAGCTCTGAATAACCCTGTGGCACTATCGGCGAAGCCCCACGAGATTTGAGCTGGCGAGCGAAGCGAACGCCCGAGATATCTGTAAGGCTCTGGCACGAAAATCTATGTGGGAAAATAAAAATCTGAAGTGCTGTTATTACCCTGATTCCGTCCCAGGTAAAAACCAGCCCTAATAAGAAGGACGCAAATTTTGAGAGAGGATACACAGTCCTTGTGAGCGCCTCGAGAAACACCCTTTAAGTCTCGCAAAACTTACTCGAACAGTGCCCGAGAGTTTTGCAAGCCTGGCATTATACTTTCGGTTCCTTTGAACTTTTGCCATTCATCTCTCGGCTCGGCAAATGAAATGTCACTATATTTCAGTCAGCTTTTCAGCACCTCTAGATATCAAGTAGATCTGCGTGCGCCTTCATTATAGCCACTCTAGCAGTATTTCAATTTGTGAGATGCGCATCAACTCTCTGAGCAGCTTTTCAAGATGGCGGCTTCAGCGTGCTGTGTCGACAAAATTTTAATTCGCTAAAAATTCCTCTTTTACTTTCAACGAAATCACGCAAGTGATAGTAAACTTACAGTTAAAATCAATTTTAGTCATGACAGATTCTGTGGTTCTAGATAAGAGCGATTCGCCGACAACTCCTCGTGTTGGCGAGAAGGTATTTTGCTGTCATTAAGCTTCATCGTAGTAAGGTAGTCTGGTTTAATTCTTTCCTAAGGAAGCGATTTGCAAAGATTTCGTCTAAAGTTGGACTTTATTGTAGGTAGAATCGGAGGGACAAACAACGCTCTCCACCGTAGAAGAGGACGCGGTTCTAGAAGGTTAGAATTGTTATTATGCTTGATAGACACTTCGAACGCTACGCAGTTAAGTAACTGACGCGATCAAACGTTCTTGAATGTCAAGTTCGAACACTTGTGACACTTTTTACATTTTTATTTTCATTTTGGGTGTAGATATTCCAACTGGAATAAGAGCACAGTCTTAAAACATTTTGGAAGTTTTTATTTCAAATCTGGTTTTCATTTCTTTTGTTCTCAGTTTGCTTGTCTCTGTGATTCATAGTTTGTTTGCTCGTTTGGTCTGTCAGCATTCAACTTTCAAACTCTTTAATAAGTGGAGGTGACTGATCTTTTATGAAGTTTTTATCTGAGTCAAAGTAACTGTGATGAATAATTTTGCTCTTGAAATGTTAGTGATCATCCTTGAAGTGATTCCATTGGGATAAAAATATCTAAATATTCACTCATGCAAGTTTCATTTAAATTAACCTTTTTACTCCCTATAAATATCAATTCTACCCACTTTCTACCATAAATTTCTTATTATTTGAGCCCTGAGAATTTAGAATTAAATCCAACAATGTCCTTGATACATTTTTTCTTGAAACTTTTTTACTGACAACGCATTGACAATGTAAGGAGAAATGTCATGTTTGTCACCCCTGAAAGTGAAAATATTTGGTTTAGTTGGTCAGATACCTAATGAAAAGCCACGCACTAATCAGGAGGATAACAAGGTGAAGCCTGATCACAATGCAAAGCCTGAACATAATAAGGATGGAAAAGCAAATGATAAGCCTGGAGCTGTTGCTGGTAGTGAAGATGTGGAAGAAGATGGTTCAGATGAGGAAAGTGAGGAGGAAAGCGAAGGGGAAACAGACAGTGATGAATACACAACAGGGACGGAGTCTTCAGGGTCTCACTCTGAGCACAGCGCCAGTGACAAAGAGGTAAGTTGATTTTGCATTTGTGAGACCCAAAGCTGTATATATCAGTATGCATATTCTCTAAACTGTTCTCTATACATTCCTTAAGGTAAAGATGAGGAGAATTTTTATACTAATCAGGAGCTTCTTTAGTTGGTGATCATGTCGTCTATTCTCATGACTTTAATGTGTGATTCAGGGATGATATTGTGAGGAGAAATTAAATGCTGGTCACTCCAAGGAGTCAAAGGGTTAATGAATAACCTTCGATAATTTTTCATTTTCCTGGCCATAGTTCAATGGCCATTGTGATTGCAATCTGGTTACAATTTTTTTCTGGCTCAAACCTTTTTGAACCAGTTTAACTTTACTTCCTTTCATGTTTGTTTTGTTGCTCTATTGGATTTTCTGGAAGGACAGAAAATGAAAATCGAGCTGGTTCTTCGACAAAGATAAATTTAAACCACAAAATATTATACAATAACCTGAACTTTCACAATTGTACTGAGAATTTGTTGTTCTGTTTTGGGACTTGCTGAATGTTTATTTTACTGAAGAGGAAGTTATTTCCTAAATTGAAAAAATGTGAAAACGATAACTTATCTTGCTCATTAACCACACTGGTGTGCTTTGGCCATAAAGAGGAAGCAATCATTTTGTAATCATGATCCATATCTTATAAGAATTTTTTGAAACCACTGGAGCAAGGCCTTGTTAATTCTTTGGTTAAAATCAATTTTTGTTCATCAACTTTACTATTTTTGTGATTCAATAAAGCAAAGTGAAGAGGAGGCAGGAGTAGATGACGAAGAATACAAAAGAGTTGGCGAAGACAAAGACATTGAAGTAAAAGAAGAGGAAGACAAAATGGGAAATGAGCAGGAAGAAAGTAAAAATAAAGTGAATGCAAGAGAAAGAGGGGATGGACAGGTGAGACACTTGAGAAAACATACATGACACATTTCTATTTCAGAATCCAGAGGAGGTCTGATTTACAAATAGATTCTATGTTGCCATGTGTCTGTCCGGTAATAGATCACAAATGACATCAAAATGCAGTGACAAACAGAAAAAAAAATTGGCACACAAGGTGCAGCCAAGTGTGTTACTGATGCTCTTACCACTTTTGGATGTCTTCTGAGATCCATTACTGAACAGACCCACAGCAACTCAGAATCAATTTGTTTATGTGATTCAGAAGCAGAAGAACTGTTAATAATGACATCATCAATGTGTTTGTATGTAAGAACCAATCAAAAGGCCTGAATGATTCAGCTTATTACTTTAAAAGAGCTGTAATTACTCGTGTATAAGCTGCACTTGTGTATGAGCCGCAAGTATAAGTAATCACACATGTAGTGTAGCACAACACTTCACCCTTAGTAAGAATCAATCAAAAGGCCTGGATAATTCAGCTTATTACTTTAAAAGTACCATAATAACTCATGTATAAGCCACACTTGTGTATAAGCAGCACATATAAGTAATCACTCATGTAGTGTAGCATAACACTTCAGCCTTAAACTCCCATGACTGACTAAGACAGAATTTCTCCTTTTTTGATACAATATTAAGCAGACAGACAAGTGCAAGCAAGCATAAAGGAAAATATAAAGTAGGGAATTATTAGTTGACACAATACAAAATTCTCCAAACTTACATCAAGGTAGAAGGTTTGGATTATTTGTAATGAAGTCTTTGGAGGGAAAGGGTTAATATTTTGCCAAAAAAAGTTATGAAATTTAAAGGTTTTTCAATCAGTTCAAGCATGCGCAAGAAAACTTTTGTTCCAGAAATCAGCAAGCCAATTTCTTTGAAATTGGCTAACCTCTAATTAATTTCTGATGCAGAGAGGTAATAACGCTTATCATGCCAATTTTATAACTTATAAAAAAAAAATGGTGTAAATTTGGACCTAACTTGCCGGTAGTTTCCAAGCAAACCTTTCAATAAGTGATGTAAATGGAATGACAGTTGAATTCTTTCTTCAGGAGGCAGAAGAAGAAAAGAACAACCCAGCTTTTATTCCACGTAGAGATGCCTTTTGGGGGCATGACGACAGATGGACTGACACACCTGATGATGAAAGGTCCATAGTTCTCTCATGACTTTATTTATAGTATTGATCTATTTATTACAGTCATGTGATTCTGTGAGCTTGTATTTGACAAGCACTCTAATGGTTGTGTTTTTACGGTCTTGGTTTGAAGCAGATTCACATCAATGTTTTTTTTTCGATTTAATTTTGTTTTTTTAACACCACAACATCCCATTACTTTTTTTTTCCTCGATCAACAATTTTAACTGAGAATAACCTATCTATGTCAAAAAAAGCTTTTAAATTTTTACATTCTTGACCACACAAAAAGTATCTCAGACTACAAGATACTGCAGGGGTACCCAAAAAAAAAAATGCTGGTAGATAATACTCTTACTATGTTAACCCTTTGACATCCAAGAGTGACCAGCATCTGATTTCTCCTTACAATATCACAGCTGAATCAAACATGGAGGTCACGAGAAAAAAAGGAAATGATCATTAACTAAATAAGCTCTTGATTGTTAAACAAATTCTCCTTGGCAGCACCTTTAGAAATATATAGAGAACAGTGTGGAGAATTTGCCTACTGATGTCAGGTTGTAAAGGGTTAAGATAAAACGGTAAAAGAGAATAAACAATTAGGATGCTGAGTTTTTCAATGGTTACTTGTCAATATAATATGTGGTTTTACAATGTTTAACAGACAGGGTTGTAGATAAGAGCCGGCAGCCGGCGAAGTACGCCGGCTTCTCTGCAAGGTTACGCTGGCTACTCTCATTGCTTCGAGTACAGAGATGATGTTTATCAGGTCTAAACTTGGGCTCAATAAAAACATAAATTTGCACTGCCTATCTTTTCTGAAAACATAAAATGACTTCTGACTCAAAGTCAGTTTAAAAACGTTCTGATGGGGACTGTCTTTTTGAAAGTACAAATGATATGATGTTTCGTCCGCCATATCCGTTTACCGTTTACCTTTAAAAGAGCTCCGGCTACTTAAAACCTTTAAGAAAACCCTGAACAGATGATTTGAAGTCAATAAATTTTTATTTTTATATTAACAGAAGGAAACCAACAACAAGGCAGTTGTGGGACAAAACAACTGACCGTTGGGAACATGACATGTACAGGGAAGATGAACAGGGACCCAAAACCAGAGAAGAAATAGAGGTAAGGAGACAAATCATAACAAAAGTCAATTTTATTACGTTTGACGTTTAGACAATGCATGTTTGTTATGTTGCTTCTTTCTGAATGTTGTGCAATTGCAGGGTTTTGGCGTCGTCTAAGATTGGCTAACAACTTCCATTGATTTTATGTGAGAGATTTGAATTCCACAGGCTAAGTGAATTGCTGAGGGTTGGCTCACTTGCGGCTTAGTGCCATGTGAAGATTGGAACAATTTGATTGAACGACATGAGTTACTTTAAATCAGAACTGTGAGCCATTCAATGGGTGTAGGTTTTATTAGACACTGGATTTTATTATGTTGAGAAAAAACTATTCATTCCTACGCTGCATCAAACGCACTTAACTAATCCGTGAGTTTGACTAGTTTGATAAAAATGCATTCAAAATAATAAGTTGAAAGTAGTAAAAGTATTACGAAGTTTACATTTGAGCCCTGAATACACTTTATGAAACCATCCATGTTGGGTGAATTTTAAAGTTTGGCAGAATGATACTGTAAAAAAATTGCTTGTAAATTATATTTGGAGCTTTTAAAACCAAGACTGAATAGCATTTTTCTTCTTTTTAAAATGGTAGGAAACAAAACGCTGGCTGGATGGAAGCGGTGGACGTCCTGGGCGGAGGAGGTATGATCTTCAGGAATTTGTCAGAGGTGGGGGCAGACGGGGGGGCAGAGGGGGCAGAGGGGGCAGAGGTGGAAGAGGAGGATTGGGGAGAATGAGAATGGATGAAGAAGAATTCCAGGAAAATGAAAGAAATAAAGAAAACCGAGTTCCTGAGCAACGAAGAAGGAGAAGGCAGACTTCGGAAAATTCTGAAGAGGACGGGGAGAGTCGAAGAGGGGGATTTGGACGGCGCGGGAGAAATACGGGACGGCGGAATAAATATGAGGATTATGATGGAAATGATGCTGAAGACAGGGAAGACAGAGATAGAAGGTCAGATAGACGGAGAAACTGGGGCGAGGATCGTGAAGAGATTGAAGAGAGACCTCAAAGGAGAAATGAGAGAAATCGTAGGCAAAGGAGGGATGATGATAATGATCAGGAATACGATGATACACGAAGACGTGATCGTGATAACAGAGGTGAGCGATATGACGACAGGAGGAGACGGGATTTTGATCGAAGGCCTGATCGTGAGCAGGAGGCAAGGGTGAAAAACAGAGATCAGAGACCACCTAGAAGAAGAGATGACGAAGAAAGACGAGACAATCGAGATGAACAGGGAGGAAGCCGGAAGGGATTTGGTGACAGGAACAGAGGAGGTTCAAGGGTGGACAGGAGGCAGAACGAGCATGATGGAGAGGGACAGAAACGACAAAGCGGAGGTTTTGGGAGTGCACAAAAAGACAGGTGAAGTGTAAATCTTTAGATACAACATTGTGTTTACACTGTGCTGTTAGTGACGTTTTTCCTCGTTTACTGCCGGAAAGCGTAGCGACATATAACTGATTTGTAATTTTTTTACTCTGTCGTTGATCAGTCCACGTAAATAGCTGTTGTTAGATGTGATGTAAAGTCAGGACACGGAGATGATTGTACTTTTGATCTTTTAACAAAATTAAACCAATGATTGACTGAATATGGAAAAAAAAACTCATGAAAAGTGTATTGAACCAGGAGGGTTAAAGAACAAGAGTATAATAAAGTAAGTTGTGATGGTGTGCATGTTTGCTTTCTACATCTGGAGGTAATTTTAACACGTACCTGTCTTTTCCTTGACCTCCTCTAGAAGCAAGAACGATTCAAGGGAAGGAAGATCTAAAAAAGCTCCAAGAGATGACATTCAAAATAATGAGGAAGAGAAACATTCAAGAGAGGAACAAGCCAAGCCGTCCTCTGCAACTCACAGCTACAGTAAACTCCGAGGCAGAGGACGAGGGAGAGGCCAGACGCAGGAGCTGAAGAAACCAAGAAAGAATGCTGCAGATTTCACCCGTGAAAGAGAGGAAGCCAAAATGAAGGAAGAACAGGAGAGAAGAAAAAAGGCTGCAGAAGATGAACACTTTGAAGGTGAGCAAGAGTCTGCAAGAGTTTTCTTATGTACTTCCTGGATTTTTTAAAAACACCTCAGTTTAGATGTCATAAATAGCAACACTTAATTGTCAAGGTGGTGTTTAGCGAGCGAAGTAGCTTAGTAATCTCCTTGAGTAGTTAAGGATGCTTGGCACCAGGCCACCGAGTCTCTCACTCCACTCAAGAGTACATCCCAATTTTTAAGATGCCGTCTTTGCTTTAAGATGCTGAAGAAAATGATGGAGATGTGATAATTGAAGAAGATTATGAAGAAGATGTTGAAGATGGGGTTTTAGATCATGAGCAGCCGGAAGAGTTGGAAGATGAAGGCGAGGAAGATGAAGAGGTGAGTTACAAGTTAACCCTTTTAATTCCAAGATCTCAATAGCAATTCTCCTTACTGTCTGCCACACAATTCTTGTGATGTTAGTTTGGAGAATTTGGTCTTGGATCAACTAATAATCCCCTGATTGATATTTGTGTTTATTCTCATCACTTGTCTTCGTGATATTGTATTGAAATTGTAAGGAGAAATTCTGTCTCGGTCACTTATGGGAATTAAAGGGTTGATCGATCTTCCGAAATATGATAGGCGCGGATGTTTTACAAGTTGCGTAACGACGGGCAAAATTTGTGTTCGTGTTTTATGTCAAACCGTCGATTTAGGAATTTATTAATCCACTATTGATTCATTTTTTGAATATTGCTTTTACTTTTCGAAATACATCCTATGGCGCCATATGAGAATTGTATTGATCGCACAACATGTGCTCGAAAGACCAAAACAACACAAACGAAATCAATTTAATGTCTCATGACAAACAAAAGAACCTGTTCCACTTAAAAGTGTGACGCTTGAATAGTGAAGCCTAAGTGAGGCAGACAAATAAAAGTTTGGATCGGTAAGTACAGCAATTTATTTTGCTGCTCCGCTTTCCGTCCGAATTTTTTTTCACTGTCGTTTCACTAGTGTGGCATGTTTAGCGCGTTCCGTTGCTTTATTGCGGTAAAATGACGTAACATAGGAATAATACTGTTTGATACTTTTTATCAGAGGTAGTAATCAGCAGTACTAATTGTTGTGTGGTGTAACCATTTTTTTACGCAGGTTGTTGAAGAGAATGGTACAGCTTATGTTGAAACGGAGCAAGCAGGTGAGTTGTGATTTCAAGTAAAGGGTTCTCTGGCTTTATGCATGGTTGATGAGTTGTAACTAATCTACTGGCTGACTGACTGACTTGCTGACTGACCGACTCGCAGACTGGCTGACGGACAGACTAACTGACTGACCGCTTCACCGAATGACTGACTGACAGACTGACCGACCGTCTCACTGTCTGATTGACAGACGGACAGACTGGTTGTCTGACGGACTTCGTGGCTTACAGACTAACTGACTGACTAATTACCGCATTGATTTACTGACCATTTGACTGAAAAATTGTTTGACTCACTGGCTGACTGACTGACTGACTGAGTGGCTGAGTGGCATTCACCAGTTTTCAGTTATCTTTTGCGATTATGTGGTTCTTTTCTAAAAGAATGTTGGTGTACAACTTGGGTTGCACATTGAGTTTGTGAAACGATTCATCGTAGTCTTTGTAAATTTACCACAATCATTACAGATGAAAAGCAAACTGCCTCTAGAAAACAGGATGGGAAGCGATCAAAGCAATCTTCACCAAAGAAAGGAGCTGGTGTGTCTGGATCACCAAGTGCTGCAGCATCCCAAGGTGCTCCTGCTGCCAAACCCAAACGATACTCATCACAGAGGCAGCGAGCAAGTCAGCAAGTCCCCCTGCAGGTTCACCAGGCCATGGCTCCACAGATGGGTACAATGTACCCTGACCAAGCTGCTTACTATGAGCAAATGCGTGAGTAGGAAAGCTACTGAGTAGTACTTTCATGTTGTACAAGGTGATTCTAACTTTGTCTGCAGATAAAATCCTAGTTTTTGACCTTTGATATGAAAGTTACTGAGCAGTACTTCCATGTGGTTCCGCTTTTTCTGTGCTGTGTTGCACAAGATGGTTGTTAAGGACGTCATTTACTATGTATGGTCTTAAAAGTGATTGATTTGTCACTTTCAGCCTTTCAGGGTGTTTATGTACCTGCGGGAACTCCACCAACACAAACTGTTCCCATGCCAGGTATTCCACAGCAACCGGATGTCATTCTGCGGCAAGAAATGGCAGTAGCCCCAGGTGCTAATTAGCTTATATTAATTTTTACCGTTTTGCCTCGATAGCCTTGAGAAATAAAGAAAAAGGCAGTTAAAACCAATCTGATTTATCACTCTATAAAATTTCTCAGCAGAACAGCCTGAAATGCCTGCTGGGATACCAATGGCTGGGCCAGGTCCTCAACCAATGGGGGCTCTCCAGCATGAGAGCATGATACAACAGCTTGCTGCCCTTCAACAAGGGGCTTTGCCTGTTCAGCAAGGAATGGGCTCAGAGGGAGTATCACCCCAAAGAGTTCCTCAGCCCGGAATGAGCCCCCAACAACAACAGGCTTTGGCTACTCATTTACAGTTACAGGCTTCGCAAGGTGAAGGTTGTGTTTATTCTACGTGTATCAAAAACGAACAAATGAATAAAGAATTAAGCCCTTCCCCGAACAACGAACAGAGAGACGTGTATGCTCTTGTCACGAGCTTGAAACAGATAAAAAGAATAAATTTGAGTGCCCTTGAGGAATCGAACCTCAGAGCTTAGGATCCAGCTCTCCGGTGTACTACCGCTGAGCCACGAGAACTCTATGGTAAACCAGGCTGATCCGAGCAATACGCAGGACTCGGGTCAGACATGAATCAGCTAATGGTAGAGGATCAGAGGGCAGAATCCAAGGGTCTAAGTACTGGTTGATTTGTCTTTTAGGAATGCAAGGTCCGATGGCTCCGGTACCTCAACCAAATATGGTAGCCGCAGGAATGAGCCCCCATTCAACAGCAGGATTTGTCCCGCACCCAAATTTCCCTGGTGTCCAGTCTTTCCCAGGCCAGATTTATACCAATTCACAGTAAGTTCTTTTGGTAATTTTGCATGAAATTGGTCATATTTAGAGGCTTGAACCGTTAATGGAATTTTTCGCGTTTGAACCGTAGCTGACCCGTTCACTCCCCTTACAATTTCAGACTCGTTTGAAATAGATGAGTTTAAAAATTGGTAGGAATTTCCGATTAGTACTCGGAACCCCTTTTAAACGCCTAATTTGTTGGCGTATACCTTGTAATGAAAATAACCCGAGGGATCTGGATCTATCCATGGTGCATCCTAACCTTGCATTCATTCAGACAAGCAGTTAGGGTCTAAAGTTTGTTCACTCCTATCGAAGCGACGTAATATTGATCCTAAACTGTGAAGCCTACAGCTGTGGTTGTTTGTTGATTGTGTTTGCAGATATCCAATGATGGGAATGCCTCCATTTATGGGACAACAGGTGAGTTGGTAAATCGTGAACTAATTTCTCATTAGGATGCACCCCTGAAGGACGGGGTTACTTTATCGAAAGTGCGATTGTCTGGGCTCAAATTCTGCCTGGGTCAGTTTTCTTTTAGCTTTTGTCTTGCGCAAGATATTTTGCTCTCAGAGCACCTCATTCCAATCAGAAGAGGCAAGGCAATGGCAAACAGTACAAATCAACTCTGATTCTACTTTATTTTCCCATAATCGTAACAACTTTGTTGAAAAATAGCCAAAGGATCTCTTGTTCAGAACTGAAGTAAATACTTTCACGTAAGAGTAAAATCGGCTTAAAGTTGATGATGAGAAGTTCAATTGTAGCCGTTCACCTTCAACTTGGTACTTAACTTGTCTTCTGGAGGGGGTAGGGATGGGAGGGGGGGGGGGGTGGGAAGGAAGGGCAAAACGGTAAGGACTAAATTCCTTTCCGGGAAAAAGGAGTACCAATGCATCGAGTCGTGTACACCCTTGGAACCGTCAGCAGCCATGCAAGTCAATTTTGTGTGCAGGCTTAACTTTTTTACCTAATTACCTCTGTAGATGTACGGGCTCCAGATGGCAGGAGGAGGAACATTTTATCCTCCACAAGCTGCCATGGTACAACAACAACAACAGCACTCGCAGCAACAACAGCAACAACAGCCATCCCAGGGAGAACCGCAACAACAGCAGACAAGACGCCGCCCAAATGCTGCCATACCCATCAAACCCCCGCAAGTAGGTACCTTCAACTCGAGGTGAACGCGAGAAGAACGAGAGTTAAACGCGAGATGAACGAGAGTTAATCGCGAGATAACGAGAGTTGAACACGAGATGAACGAGGATTGATTGTAAGGTGAACGCGTGTGGAACGCGAGGTGAACGTTGGTAGGAAGCGAGTTTCAAACAAGCTATAATCCTCTACCAAGCTGGTCCTCAAACGGGTCTTTTTTTAGAAATGTTAAAAGTGGTTTTGTTCGACTTGTCTACCTTAACTCCTTCATGATTTCTCTTTTGTTTTCCTTAGGAAAGAACCTGAACTGTCGTCAACAACACCCTTACTGCGCAATTAAATGAAAGTACGGCTCCAAGCCGTGCGTGGATGGAGAAGGAAAAATTAGATCAAGTTATGAGTCCAGATGTTCTAAAAGGAGGAAAAGAACAAATCTTGCTCGAAAAGGGTTCTTTATTGATGTTAGACCATGTACCCAGATGTGTAAACGATGATTTTTTTCCGTTGAAAGGAGATGCAGACGTAATAGTGGGTCTTGCATCACGTAATGTCTTTTTACACCGCAGAACTACCCAGACAGTTGCCGCAAATGTTTTTCAGGCTTCGAGAAATAGTTTTAAAATGATCAGGTGATGTGTTAACCCGTCTCACTCTGAAAAAAAATGGCATTTTTTCTGACACATGTCTCGGTTTGTGCTGGGCAAAAATTTTAGTTCAAATTTTTCTAGAAAGGTATTTGTAATTTTAACACGTACTCTTTAACCCACTATCGTCGTTGTTCGGTTAGGTTTATTTTAAATTTTACGGCAATTGGGTACTTTACTAATGTAAAGGTGGCGGGGCAGGGTGTGTGGGGAAAGTAGGGACTCAAAACGAAATTTTGCGGCTCAGACCCGTCTCACGGTAGGTGAGGAAACTGTTGAACGCGCTGGTTCGGAAAAATGATCACTCTCGCGATCTTCCTTGGTTTATTGATACATCTTTCGTCTTTATTAAAAAATGGCTCTATGTTTCGTCGTGAATCGGTACAGCACGCTCAGTTGGACATTCTGGGAAAGTTGAGTAGGCGTATGTGTTTGGTTTGAGAATCCCAACCCCAGGGGTATGTGCATGGTTTGAGACTCCCACTCCCTCTCTCACGTTCCAATACGCTCTGTCGCCTCGGAAAGATGAAGACCTAATAAGCATATTGTAAATTGTAGTAAATATCCTCTCCGGCCTTAACACTGACTTAACAACGTAAAATTGCATCGTACTTTGTGGGTGCCGTGCCTTGAATTGTTCATATTACTATTAAGCTCTAATTATAATATATTTCACCCAAGCGAATGTTATTCACCTTCAGCATCATCCTAAGGAGATATCTATGAGTGACCCAGAGAGAATTTCTCCTTACAATAGCATACATCATGAAGCATAGAAGTGGTGAGAATAAAGAAAAGTATCAGGTTGGGGATTATTAGTTGATCCAATACCAAATTCTCCAAATTGACGTCATAAGAATTGTATGGTAGACAGTAAGGAGAATTCGTAATGAGATCTTAGGAGTTAAATGGTTTAAAGAAGCATTTACAATATCAAGTTGTCTCAGGCATTTTTCCTTGGCGAAGTAGATGAAAAAAATTTTACACAGTTTGGCAAATTTTCTCGGTCAAAAACTTACTCGCAAGGGTTTTACCTCGCAGATTTGTTAGCAAAATGCTGTTTTCAAACACGATTTTTTAAAATCCAGATGACTAAACATAAGCACTTTATGAACATCAAAACTATACCCAGCAAGGGTTACTTTCTTCAAAGATTTTCTTTGCTAATTTATACGACGAACAATCTTGCTGTAAGTAACCTGCTGGAGCTAATGAGACTAATATGAATTTAATTCATTATTTGATTAAGTGAAGTTTAGTTCTATCTTTTCAAAGACCAACATGACATTCCTCAAGGTTCCTTTTAATAACTAGAAAATTTGTGTTAGATTGGTGATGATTGTGCTCTTATTTGTTATTGGTGTTACGTTAAGCTTTTACTTGTAATAAAATAGTCTGAACACGAACTTGTAGAAGTGAATTTCCACATGTTTGATTTGTATCCTCTTAAAAACTCGGGTGAGTTCTTGTTGGTTTCGAGTTTATGACGGCCTTAGCAGTAAACAACTTTCGTGCCGAGATGTTTTTCACCAAGTTTTCTTGGTGTTTCTCCCTAACTCTGGGCTGCCAATTAAAGCAAGAGTTGGAAACTATCAAAAGCCAATGAGAGCTCGGTAGCCACTTAACTGTTTTGTTTCCTGCGCAGGAAAGCGCAAATGATACGCGTTAATTTATCTTGGTTTTGGCTCTGATTGGTTTAAAGGTTGGCAAGGGTTTTCTGAACCAATCACAGTCTGAATTCAAAGCACACGCAATACAATAATGGAATACTATTAATGCTCGACTGAAAATTGCTCTCTGTAACAAACCCCAGTTTTAATTATTACCCTCTTGGATGCTGAGGTCACTTGCAATTGCTTTTCGTTCGAGCTGCTCAAACAGGAAGTTTTCCTGGGTCTTCTTCCGGGACTCGAGCGATCGGCGCACTTCCAACACACAAATAGAACTTGGTACGAAATGAGAGAACCTCATTCATAAAGGAAAAAGAGAGATCCTGGGAACAAGCTTGAAGTCTAACTCCAGACTACCCGCAAACTCTGGATTCAACTTCCGGTTGGGTTTACATCTCCTTACGCGTTGAAGTTGACAAATAACTGGAATTTTGGCGTTTTAGTTGGCGACGAATAGCGAGGTAACCCGTTGAAGGATTCCTCAGATGGAAAGGTGTGGCATTGGGAACCATCCCAGGGATGTTCTTGCGCGACATCTGCAATGATGACGAAGGACTCTCTTTGGCTGATTGGGACTTGGAAGTGGGTCGTAGGGCATGTGACGTCATGGAAGATGTTTCTGCCGACGAGATCGCCTTGCGACGTAACAGTCTTTGCTGTCGAGGCCGGCAGATTTTTGGCAGTGATGCAGTAGAAATTTGCGTGCATTGCAACGATTCCGTTGCCTCTCTTCGGTCGTCTGTCGATTTGAAGTTGGAATTTCTCGGTTTATGGCCCCTAAGAGTATCGCTCATTCCTTGTGAATTTAACATCCACGATGATTTCTGAGTTTTCTCCACCGTTGAAATCGGAGAACCTCGCAATTTCTCGGGAATAACGAAAGAGTTCTGCTTTTTGAAGCATACTCCTGAGTTTACAGAGGGGTGGAACTGACTCGCTTTGCATGACGCAAACCCGTTGGATGTGTCATGAAATTTCCTAGTTAATTGAGAAGACACGGGACAGGTTAAACTATTTGGCTGAGAAATTCTCGGCCAGGTGGGGACAGCTTTCTTTCTGTTTCTTTCCAGGAAAATTTCGTCATTTTCCCAGGCACTGTTCGCCAATTTGTCCCTTTGCAAGCACGATGCTCGCTCGTTTTGTCCCATCTTCAGCATGTCAGAAGTTGTACGATTCCATCGAACGGCCGATCGACGAATTCGCGTGTTGTTGGTATAAGGACAGTGCCAGCCATTCATTGCAGGTGTTTTGGGACTTCTGTTAGCGCATGATAATTTGCCATTCTCACACGCATTCGCCACGGATGACACTCTCTTTGATTTTGTCGCACTAAAATGGCTCATGGTGGGTCGCAATAGTGATCGATTCCTTGGGGTCAGAGATTCCTTCGTATTTCTCCTAGTTTCATTTACGATTGAAGACGGAAGCGGTTGCGATGCTTCGCGTTTGACCTTTCTTCGTAAAGCCAAACGACTCGTATTTGGGATCGGAAAAGGATGGGACAGTCTCGGAGATCGAAACAAAGCTAAGGTCTCCGGATCCCTCAGCTCCTCAATCTTTGGGGTGGAGTCCTTCCTAGTCGTTATGCCGTTTCTTGTGTTACCTTGGTTTTCAGTTTTAGCCTTATCAATCGATTGTTGAACGCTTGATGGACCTTCTAAGTCTAAAGGTAAATTTATACAAATGGTGTGACACTCTGTACTCTCTTCGTCTTCTTGGCATAAATTCACAGCCATTACTTCTTTCGCTTCGATTTCGCGCTCTATGTCGCACACCAATTCACTATTTATTCTACCATTCTGCATGGTAACACTGACCTCTGTTTCATGTCGGTGGTCCTTTACTTCCACTGTCGTGCTCTGACCGGTCTCAATGCCGTCAAAGAATCTCCGAGGGCTTGGTGAAAAAGGCGAAGGGAGTTGTAAACAGTCATTGCTTTCCGAAAGTCGAAGGAAATCGAACAATCGCGAAGGACTCCCGGCCGACGTACTGAAGCTGCGCCAGCTCAGTCGAACATCGTCTGTTTCATGTTTATCACTTGGTTGGTGTTTCATCAATTCTGGTGGGTACACTGGAAACGGAGCGTCGCCATTATGACTTCCTCGCCCGTTTTCCATGGCTTCCACGAAACTGATATTAAAATTTCACCATCTACCTCCTTATTGTTTATAAAGCCTTCTGCGCACTCGATAATCTTGAGGTTTTTTTTCAGTTACGTTATACTAACTGTCACGGTCAAAAGCAGTGCAAATTACCTCTACTACTTCGTAAGGAGAGTTCTGAGCCGAATATACCAAACCAAACTAAACTGATATCTGATAAGGAGAGCGAACATTACAGAAACCAGACGCTACGCAACTAAGTCTCAATGCAAAGCGTTTCCCACAATTTGTGAAAATCGCCTTGTTCCAAGATTTCAAAATGTGGCACTGGCTAAATGGGCCTCAATTAGCCACGCAAATGTACTTACGCACATTTAACTGACGCGTTTCTTTGACTTGATTTGCAACTGGTTCTTAAAAAATCACGGATCGGTTTCCTTTTAATATTTTGCTTCTTATGACGTCACTATCTTGGAAATTTCACCCAGATTGCAAACGGGATACCGTCTACAACACAAATGTAGTTCACCGTTAAAATTCAGTTTATTTTCATTCGGTAGATAAAAACAAGGCAAAAAAAAGTCATGAGAGTTTGAATGTGTTATTTTCTCATCCTTTCTAATCCGTAGAAAAACTACAGTAGTGAAGACTATTTGTTATTAACTTTGAAGAATGTTACCATGGGAACAGGGCTTGGCTAATGACGTTCCCGTCAAATCATTACTCTTTCCTAAAGTTACTCACGCAACGGTCAAATTAGATTTACGCGTCTCTGTTACTTTACCTGAGCTAATAAACTCATCTGTAAGCACTGGAAAACGTAATAAAATTCACTAAAAATTTGAAATATAAATGAACATACGGCATTGTACTCACAGGCTTGTTATTTCTTCGCCATGCATAACGTCATTGTTAAATTACCCTCAACTGTGTTTACTTTGTGCTCATTGGTAGATGAAGTCAGGCAGATGAAAATGACGTTTTAGTCACGTGGAAATTGTCTGAAGACTGGACCCGGGTTTAGGCCGAGAGCAGGGCATGGGCGAAACACCTGTTTTGTTTACTGTGCTCAGGTTTAGTGACATTTACTTAGACAAATTCTCCCTTTCACATCACGTATACCAAGTCGAGCGAAAACCGTTTCTCTTTCGTCACTCGAATTTTCGTCGGGAGCGAGTCATCCATTTTGGCTTTTGTTTACAGAAAATTTGAACACAGTTTAGAAATTAATGAAATTTTCCCTCCTTTTGTGAATACTAATAATTTGACCACAATGCATCTTGCCTACGTGTTCCGAATAATTAAGCTACTTGCGAATATCTTTGTTAAGACGAAGGCTTCTTCTGACTGGTGCGTTCTGCTGCTGCAAGAAGAAAATAGTAAAAATGGAAAGGTTTCAGTCGGCAGTTTGAAAACTAGATTGTGTACAGCCTCCCTCAGCCAGACAGGAAACGTAACCCAAAAATATTCATTTATGCTTACCTTCCCAGACGACCTCTTTTTTCTACTCTCTTTCCCAACAACCGTTTTCTTTTTCGGTTCTGGATATGGAGAACAAAAAAACCAAAATAATAAATATAGCCTCCGATTGAAAAAAAAAACTGAATCCCAGTTTGTCCTTCGGGTTGTCATCTTCGGGGACCCCTCCTACGGATAGAATTAATAGGTATGCGGCAGTGTGAAGGATAGGGTTTGGATTGTGATGAAGAATGGAAATCAGATACGATTAGTGAAATACAGATGGAGGGTAACAGTATAGTGCGGAACTTAAGGCTTCCAAGCAGCCAGGTGAGAGTTGGCAAAAGAAAAACGTAAGAGTCAAGCATAAGCTTCACAGAGCCCCTTCCCCCTCCCCCCTCTCACCTCCCCCCTTTCCCTCCTCTGCAAGAGGATTCCCTTCTCCGGCGAGTGCCCAAATAGTTTGTTTACATACAATTTCCGTTGCCTCCCTCTCCCTCCACAAAGTCGTCCGTTCTTCCAGGGTCACAGCGCGCTTCGGTAACGGTTCCTTTGAGAGCTCTTACCTTTTTTCACTGTTGCTTTTGGCGGTGTCTTCGTTTTCTTTTTCTTTTTCTTTGGTGGAGCATGGTCCTGGAAAATTTTATTGAACCAAAATGTAATTTGTGGGTTTGGCTCTCAAATACAAAGTAGATTCTCGTAACTTCAGTTGGAGTGACCCCTGACTTGGAAGCTACTGAGCAGTACTTAAATGTGGCGCTGGTTATTTTCCTGTACAAGGTGGGTCTAACTTTTATGTCAACGGAGAAGACTCTTCTGCGTGACCATTCAAAAGAAAGCTACTGAGAGGCACTTTTATGTGGAAACTATTTAATAGGCTGCACAAGGTGGATAAAACCATACTGTGTGACCACTCAAATAAAGCTTCTGAGCAGTACTCTCATGTGGTCCCGCCTATGGTCCTATACTACTGTTCGACTATTCAAATAAAAATTACTGATCACCACTTCCATATGGTGAGGCTCAATAAACTGTGGGGTTCAAATAAAAAGCGGGTTACCGAAAAACCTTTGGAATAGATAGACACCGAAAAAGCTTTGGAAGAGATGGTACAGAGCAGTGCGCACAAGACGCATTGTTACAAGGTGTTACCAAGTACAAGCTGATTCCAACTTTTATATCTGAAGCGTGCGTGCATTCAAATGCAACCTCGAAAGCGATTTTTAACGAGGTAACGTGTGCTATACTGTGCAAAATTACCTCACTCACCGCTTTAGTTTCCTCCTCTCCATTTATTTCTTTTTTAACTTTTTCTGTTTTCCTCTTTTTAGATGTGCGTATCCCTCTTGATTTTGCATCTTTAAACAAAAGTACAGAGAAACATCTAATTACGGGAGGATGGGTGTATGGCAGTGACTTTACGGCCAGATTTTCCCGATTTTCATGGGTTAATGTACTTTCTTGGGTATGAGGCTCCGCTTACGCTGGAGCTCCGTTATCAGCAGATTTTTACTCCTGACAAGTGTTGCAATAACTGACACATCATTACATTGAAATCCGTTTGAATTTTTTTTTTATTGTATAACAGCAATCCTGTTCACGAAGTGTGTAAGTATAGCTTGAGACCGAAGGAAACACCATAACCCATGGATTGTGAACATTCTGTAATTTTTAAATGGCTACTAAGTTCATCTGCACTCAAAAATGTCTTCTGTCAACATAGCAACAGTGATAAACGTGAACTTCAATACTTGTAAAATGTCATACATTGTCATTCACCCCTTACACCCTACCATCAGTATGCATATTCTCCATACTGTTCTCTATACATTTCCTTGGTTGCTGAGAAGGAGAATTTGTTTACCAATCAGGAGCCTCTCTAGTTGGTGATCATTTTCTTAACTCTTATGACCTTTACATTCAATTCAAGGGTGAAAATGTAAGGAGAAATTAGAAGTCAATCACTCTTGGGAGTTGAAGGGCTAAATGCTCTTTTAATACTTCCTAACTATTTAAATCAAAAGTTTTAAATTAAAATAACTTGCCTTTAGGCACCAAAGGTCCAGCTTCACCCTGTTGAATTAAATTAAAACACACCCAAGAAAATTATTATTTACACAAATACACTTAAATCACTGCATTTAAAGTCAACTTGTTCATCAGTTTATGTTCAGCAGAATACAATATGTGTTAGGTGGTTATACCCTCCCTAAAGATTCAACCGTTTGGTTTACAGTCACCTTGCTACCATTGAGCTTGCCCCCAATAAAACACCCCCTTCAAATAGGCTAAAAGGCCAGGGAGCTTATTCTAAGAAATGCAGTATTTTAAAATGATGCAAGCTGCATACCTTAAACCAAATGGTCCTGCCATCATGGTCCACAATGTTCCTCATCTCTGGTTTGTAGTAGCACTGACGCCACTCATTGAATGCAGAATAATCTGAATAATTTCCTGTGGGATCATATGCTGAAAGGAAATTTTAATTTTAAACGAAGTTAAGACTTAGCAAATAATTACAATTGACTGGGTGGATTGCAATCATGCACATGATTTCAAAATTAATTGAGTGCATGATGTGGCTGGATGTTAAATCAGAAGCATGATTTCTTCCCAAAATTGCCAAAATTGAATGATAAAAAGTTCATTTGGCACTTAACTAAATAGAGGCATAATTTTACCATCTAGATACAAGGAGCAGAACAAAACAGAAGGCAAAAGAGTAAGATCTATCTCTAAATGTCTTCTTTTTTTGCATTCTAATTTCACTGATCTTGATTAGCTTAAACCTTAACCCTTTACAACTCAACATCAGTATGCATATTCTCCAAACTGTCCTCTATACATATCCTTGGGTGCTGACAAGGAGAATTTGTACAGCAATCAAGAGCTTCTGTAGTTCTTGATCATTTCCTTGAACCTCATAACCTTAATGTGTAATTCAGGGGTGATACTGCCTTGAAATCTGAGTGATTGCTTTGTTTTAGTAATCCATTCTCGTGTGTTTTTGAGATCCAGCCAGAGTAAGTGATTTCAAAATCAACCCAGTGAAGTATAAAAATGATATCATGAAACAGTAATAACTGGATAGAAATAACCAAATTGATTGTTGACTTACGTAAATTAATCACCTCTTTAGGCACCAAATTACAAAGCTCTAGAAAGTCTGGATGTTTAACTTTACATTTCTTTCCTTTTGATACCTAAAATGGCAAAAATACAAAACTCACTAAAAATACAATTGAACTATAAAAGCAGCCACCTTAAATGCAATAGGACAACCAAAATTCATTATGATCTAAAAGCTCAGAAAATACCTTTAGTCTGACTCCCTTATCAGAATCAAGGACGCTTTGAGAGACAGAGCTTTTGCCCTGACAAAGGGCTATAGTTCTAAGAAGGTCAGCTTTGAAACTCTTTACTGTGGCCAGTGATACTAAATAACCCTGTCGTACTCTCTCACTGACGCAGCACTACTGTTTCTTAAGAAACTTATACCCCTTTGCACTTTGAGAGAACTTAGTTACTGGTAGTTCTTTTATATATATAAGTGACAGAGTTAGCAAGGTTGAAACTTTGGAGTCGACATGCCCGAGTGGTTAGGGTACTGCAATTGAAATGTGGTGGTCCTGGATTCAAGTCCTCCACCCTGCTACTCACTGGATTTGTTCTCAGTCCCCCCCAAGTTTAACTCTTCTGCTATACTGTGTAAATAGCCAACTGGTCTGCCTCCTGCCAGTTGGGATTTTCCTGCCAGCATTTCATGTTTATTTGAAATATTTGTTTCTTAAAGGCTTGCATAAGTGCTATATAAATTATAAATTAATTTTTATTTTCTTTTTCCCCCATGATCACAAGACAATTCACTTAATTGATGCATGCACTAGACTTCTCTTCTTCTTTTTTCTCAGAATTTGCTATTAAATCAAATAATATCTCCATGTTAATATTTGTCTTGATACTCATTCCCAGCCTGTTTGTCTTTACATTTTGTAAGCCTTCCCTGAAAGCACATTAACCCTTTAACTTCCATGAGTGACCAAGACAGAATTTCTCCTTACACTATCAGTACAATATCAAGCAGACAAGCAATGAGAATAAAGAAAAATATTAATTAAGGGATTATTAGTGGATCCAACATTAAATTCTCTGAACTAACATCATAAGAACTAAATGGCAGACAGTAAGGAAAATTACTAATGAGATCTTGGGAGTTAAAGGGTTAATCTTATATTTCCCACATGATGTACTTCAGAGGCATTAAAATTACCTTGGACATGCTTTCCTCCTCATTTACCTTGAGCTTTTCCAGCACTGATCTTGCAGAGCTAAATGGAGGAACAGCAGCCCTGAAGGAAGAACATCATAGAAAATCTAGAGCTTAATACACTCACTTGAAACTTGATTGTGTTGTGAAGGTTTCAATAGTAAAGAAGAGTCAAACAAGAAAGTTTCTAGAATTAACCCTTTGCTCCCTAACATCAGTATGCATATTCTCCATACTGTTCTCTATACATTTTCTAAGGTGCTGAGAGGGAGAATTTGTTTAACAATCAAGAGCTTCTTTAATTAGTCATTAATTTGTTTATTCCCATGATTTTAATGTTTGATTCAGGGGTGATATGGACCTGATATGGTAAGGAGAAATCACATGCTGGTCACTCTTGAGGGTTAAAGGATTAAGGGGGTAGCAAAGGGGGAGGGGGGGAGGGTGCTGATGCTGTTTCATCCTCAAATTTTAGAAAAGTTCACACATTGTGTAAATATTTTAAACAGAATTTCAGGGGGCACAAATTTAAAAGGGAAAACTTTAAATATCTCTTCTTGTGTATGAGGTTTAAGGGAAATATTGAGGTTTTCAAGAACTGAAAGAAAAACATTTCATCAATCACATACACTTCAGGAGGCAAATCACGCCTCATGTGATTCATAAATTCACAAATCCCACCTATCTTGCCTTTCTGCAAAATTAACATATCACATATCACGCCTCTCCTACCAACCCTTTGCTATCCTCAATTAAGGAAAATGAAAAATGGACATTTTCTTTAGCAAGTAAAAGAGGTCCAAGTTTGCAACAATCATAAGAGACCAACAGTGGAGTATAAATTAGTATACAAAGGATCATGCATTTAATGAGTTCAATTGTATTATTTTCAGCCACATTTTGTAATAGCTGTTAGATTACTATAACTTACTGTAGAAAAAAGGTTTGGTAAATTCTCTAATAAAGATTTATGTACATGTAACTAACATAACTTATCCCACATTCTTCAGAGAGACCTACAATTCCAATCAAAATTGGTAGACACATAAAATCTTCATAGCTATGATAAGGGAGTCTCAACCCTTTACATCCTAAGAGTGATAAGCATCTAATTTCTCCTTGCTGTATCAACCCTGAATCACTCATTAAGGTCACGAGAATAAAGGAAATGATCACCAAATAAAGAAGCTCTTGATTGTTACACAAATTCTCCTTGTCAGCACCTTAGGAAATGTATAGAGAACAGTATGGAGAACATGCATACTGATGTTAGGGTGTAAAGGGTTAGGAAATAGAATGTAAAAACTGAATTTCAGTTCAATGCAATACCCTCTCTGTTAATTTCCCTCATTAAAAGTTGCACAATCACAGAAAACAAAACACAGCTTCACAAGGGGGAAATTAGGAGTGAAAGCAAGGCTATCAGGAATTAATTTAAATGCTTTTCCAGAATATTGCAATTTCGACAGCAATGCATCAATAATTTTGTCGTTATTGGTGAGGATGGGCACTGTGTCAGGGAACACATCGTAATAACCTTTACAAAGGTTCAACATTTCACATTCCAATCTCAAGTCCAGTTGGCTAACAATGTTTCAAAGGAACACAGTGACTCTTTGAAATAATAGGTTCTTACCTAAAAATGATCTCAGCTCTAAGATAGTTCCCAATTCCGTTAAAGTACTTCTGATTGTGCATTACTTCACATAGTGGTTTGTTGAATACTGTTTCTTGTAGATTATCAAGAATGTTTGATCTAAACTCTTGGTATTCAAACATTGGATCAGGTCCTCTGTTGTTTGACCATTCATCTGTCACTTCCCATCGACCAAATCTAAACAATAAGAAAATTGAGAAAGACATTTTTTTGGCTTGTCACAAGCATGGGATAAGGAAAAAATTCTGAGTCCCCATGAGAAATCAAACCTTAGACCTTTGGATTCCACACTCTGATGCTCTACCACTGAGCCACAGAGACTCCACCATGAGCCAGGTCTATTATGAAGTAACTTTACTTAAAAAGTAAAAACTTTTACTTGCTTAGTAACCCCAAGGAGATGCTACTTTTCAGCCCCACCCAAAGGATAGTTCATGATATCAAAAGGGAAGAAATCTGCTGACATCTCACCTCTCTAACAAGGCTGAAATTTCTCTGATGAATTGAAGGCAAGATTTTTTTATTGATAGCAAGCCAAACAGCAGAGTACTGCATACAATAGGTGTGCACACAAACCCTCATTTTCAAGCTCTTATTGCTTTTGCCATAATTATAGAATTGAACACAGCAGCTGAAAAAAATTAGACACAGCACTGCAACAGTTCAGGACTCCTAATTGTATTGCGAGGGATGCATGCAACTTAACATAGTTCAGCATGCAGAGGAACTTGTCGCGTTGCATCGTACTCTGCGGAGCTTATAGCTGAGCCAGCTCCATTTTGGGGGTCAAATGAAGAGGTGCTAAATTTACTTTCCTTGGCAGCTGAGGTAGTATCTCTACGACCCATTGCATCCCAGAGAAAAAAACCAACAGTTAACCTATTAACTAAACTAAACCAACATACCTTCTAACATCTACAAAACTCAACACCATGACTGGTTTCTCCTTAGTAAAGAAGTTCAAGTGCGCATGTTTATGCATGTCCTTTACTGCACCAAACGTAAACTTTCCAGACATTCCAAATCGAAAAAGAATCCTGAGTCTTTGCTTTTCGCAATCTTTCTCTTGTTTGATTTGTTTTCCATTGCCATCAGAGCCTAATGATGTCAAAATCAGCGCAGTTTCTTTACCTCTAGACTCTGAAGTTATGCAATAATCACACATGGCGGGAAAGGAGACATCGGGGTTTTTAGTGCTAACAGCTGACTTCACAATCTTGCCACTGAAAACGAGTCCTTTGCAGACTTTGTTCACGAATTGGCTGTTTTTGTAAAGTTCTGGTCCTTCTGGCATAGTAAAATCCTCGAATATCCTCAAAAATAGAGCAGAATTCGACGCTTAGTCTAAAGAATGTATCAGAACCGCAAAAATCCCCCAGGCGTTTTATAATTAAATTAGTCCTTCTAGTACCCATAGCCTTCTGGAATAGTCTCCACGTGACTGTAAGAGGTTTTTTTTCACTAAAATCTTTATCTTCCAACTTTTAATTGAAATGAACAGAAGAGGGACTATAAAAACCTATGAAAAGTGCCCTTTGCCGCAGAGCCTGTCTCGCCTTGTGGATTTTTACGACCCCCTCTGAAAAACAATTTCCGGTAACAGGTTAGTCATGAAGCAAGTTTTCTTTGGGGTGTCACGCGACGCGCTGCGTGACATTCAAAGGAGAGACTGGCAACGAGTAGAAACTGAGTTGTGAGACCTCCTGCAATGAAAAATTTATCGCAAACAAAAGATCCTAAGAGTTCAACTACCTCACTTCTTTTATTTTATCTAATTTTTTTCTATTCCTTGTATGAAGGAACGGGTAAGAGACTTTGGTGAAGTTTCGTCGAAAAAAGCTTTCATTTGGCCAAATCTTTTTTTCGTGAACTCATGGAAAGGCGGGGAAAGATCGCACACATGCAGTTCACGTGCATTTGTTTCCCTTCCGTCTTCCCCCACTGGGGTAGGAATGGTTTTCTGGCAATTTGATTGGCTGGAGGAGTCAGATAAACCATGAAAAAGATATCTGAAGTTAACAGGTTGCTGCACGTTCAATGAAGTTTGTTTTGACCAGTTGCAAAGTCTGGCTGGAAAACCAAATAATTGATGTCTAAATATTTCAAAAGTTCTACTCTGAGACCTCATTTTCGTCCCTAGAGTCTTCCTTACTGACAAGTTCCGTGAGAAACTTGTTGAATATTCACATAAGTTTCATTGCTCGTGGTTAAAGCGCTAATAAACGGTATAGTTAGAAGTATCAGTGAAAAACTTCAAATGAAAAACGCAGAATCGTCCCTCTATGATTAGCGAAGAAACCTGAGTCTTTCGTTGTTTTTACGTTTTACGTGATTTGCTGCAGGGTCCAGTGCTGAAGAATATTAACATGTTTAAAATCAAACATTGAAACAAAAAAGACAACTGAACTTACTGACATCAGAAATTGCATGCGAGGCTGCTTGTCATTTTTTAAGCAGGGCAATTTTATAAAACAATTGATATTATGGAATAAAGGTAGAAATGAAATGGACGATGAAGAGTAAAAACCACATCACTTCGATTTTATGAAAATAGGAAATTGGTAATCATTGAATCGAGCGATGGAGTCGTACACAAACCAATTAAGTTACTACAACCAGACAGGGAATTTCAGCGCGCACCATGGGAGGGGATAGATTTCATTAGACCAGATATCCACGTGTACATCAAGATATTATTGTCGCCTACTATGGATTTCAAGGGCGGACTCTGAAAATATACCAATCACACATTAACCCAGCGTGCCGATAACATGTTGAACAAAGAAAATACTCGTGTTGCCTGGGCGATAACAACAGGAAGCGATGGAATTCTTCTTAGTAATCCAAACAATACGGCCACCTGAAATAGCACCACGCGGGTGAAGGTTGTAGAAGATTTGTTATGTGCGATTTCTTTGTAATCAAGTGAAAGAATGTACACAGTAGGCAAACAAGAATATTGATGTCTTTCCTTGCCAAAGCAAAATCATTACCTTGCCCCTTCGTGTGGCCATTACCGACAGCTTTACAGCGACGTTTAAACCCCCAAAAAACTGACTCTATCTTTTCAGAGAGAAATACACACACGAAAGTACACAAATCATTGCCGGAAACTAAAGCTGTTGAAGAACAAAGCTATTTTGTTTAAAAAATAACCTGTTCGTTTTAAAAGTGTAAACTTTGTTTCAGAAACCATGTAACCGTTTTCTCTCCAAACTTGTTCTCGGCGCGTGATAAGTAAAATGAAGCACGTTTCTTTTATTCAGTCTAAAAGGTGCGCTGTAGATACTTCTTTTTTTAGCCATGTTCATTAACTTGAAAAGTCACTTAAGAAAAATGACATTCATATTTCATTACAAGATTAATGGTGATTTATTGCTTTCACTTACTGTTAACAACTTCAAAATGACGGGTCTAATTCAATGTACGACCCTACCCTCTTTGAGAACCGGAATAATTAAAACAGACAGATTAGCGTTTGAACCAAGCATAGTAATATCAATTCCTTTATGGTATTTTTCACGCTAAATTTCAAGCTCTACGACTCTAAATAAACAACTACATTTCACGTTCACAATTTAGAAGATTTCAGGTAGCAGAATTAAACTACATTCGAGTACTCTTCACATGATAACCTATTTTTAGCCACTGAGAATCAGCATGGCGCAGATCATCTCTGATGTTAATTGTCGTGATAGTTACGCAGCCTTACGGTCAGTTAATCAAATTTAAAAAAAAACCACACACTCACACACACTCGAACACTCAACCTCCATTGAGTAATCGTTTAGTTTCACTATGATGTCAGCATTGATATTTGCGAAGACTATCTTTTATTTTCTATCGAGAAAGGCTTATCTTTTCGCATATTTAAAGCTTACGTGTCCTTTATTATATCGACGGTATGCACTACAGAGAATCCAGAAAACTCGGTGAGCTGGCGTGAAAGAAAATAAATCAAAACCGACACATACTGGCCCAAGTACCTGTTTTATTAAGGCATTTGTAACAGAGCATACATTGTTAGAACTGGCGGGCTCGTGCTCATCACACATTAATTCAAGCATTTCTATTCATCGAAGAAAGAGATAATGCGTTTTTGGTAACAGAAGGAACAACAGGTTTTTTGCACCGGAAAACACGCAGAACACCTGGTCTTCTGAGAGGTGAAGTGTGCTACATTCAGGTAGAATATTTACTAGCACCAAGCATGTTCCGTAATTGCTTTGGAATTTCGCTGGCGGCCAAACAATTTGTGAAAGAAGAAACCGCAAATGATACTCACTCAGCAAGATGACACCGGAAAGGATTGGAAGAAGACAATTCAAGATTCTTTCGGCCACAGATGGTTTTTACGAAGTTTCGTGACTAGAATATTAAATGAAGTCATGGTGACGTCATCATGGCAAAGATCGTTACCTTTTTTGACAAGAGACATTATAATTCATTAGGTCTAAACGCAAACAAAACGACCTACTCTTATCAGCAAATGGTGAAGGTAGTTGATTTAGGGGCAAGAAGAAGAGCTTTATAGTAATGCTTTAACTTCCATCGCTGCGAAACATTTCTTCGGAAATCTACTCTCAATGTGACATTCTTAATGTATGCTAAATATGCCTATAACTGCAACCATATGGCATTCTGACGAGCTTGTTTACAACGGACAGTGTCACTGTTGTAATTTCCCGCCTTCAGGTCTCACTCTCCCAGCTGCTTCAGTTAGCCACGCTGCGCTACATCTGACAACATTTCAGATGAATATCTGACACCAGTATGTAGCCAACCTTAACACTCCGCTTAATTCCTGAGAGCTAATTCAAAATACTTTAGATCGAATTATATTTCCCCTACAGCTACGAGGTCTTCACGCGTTTTTTCCAGAAAGTACAGAAAACAGAAAATCCATCTGTTTTACTTTCAAATTTTTTTGACCGAATTTTTATACTCCAAAGATCTCCGAAAGAATGGAATTGGCGCCAATTGTTTTCATTCCCGGGACAAGATAAACCCCAAGTTGAAGTGCATTTATTCGGATGGCAAATTGATTCAAGTCCCCGCACCGCGCCGAATTTACGAGCGAAAGGAAGCACACCTTGGTATATAAAAAATAAAGTTATCATTTATTCGATATACTTCCTGCAATTAACAATTCTAACACTAAAAAATACATTATCTGCTTAATTCAATAAGAAATCCTGATTTCTTTTGACATATCCAAATCATCATGTGTGCACTCCTAACTTAGCGAGAGATTTAATCTCTTAAGCGCTGCTTTCAGAGTTGGCTTCAGTTCTGATATTTTCCCGCACTGGAAGCGCTCGAGGGCTACACAATCTGCGCTACGCTTTACAAAAAATATACACAGTATATAAGAAATTATTTAAACAATATTTTTCGTCCATAAAACTGGATGCAAATTTAAGTCTCTATTTACGGAATCCTTGTTCGCTCATGGTGCGCTAGCATGGACAGCGGGTTTAAATTTAACTTTCCTTTCCGCACCTCGTCGCTGTCATGGTAATTAGGCGCAGTAATTGGCATTCGTGAGTTGTCTTCAAGAATTTTCAACTTGTTTTCTTTCCTCTGATGTTGTTTCAAATTTCAATCTTTCAAGTTTTAAACCTAGAAACTTTTCTCTAAGACACGATCGAGTGACCTTCGCTAACAGCATCTTAAAAATTTTTCTTTCTCTGGAATGGGCCCAGAAATTATGTTCAAGAATCTATCAAGGCAGATATTGTACCCGTGTAAACTGAGAAATGTTTGTCACGAGTTGCTTAACTCTCCCTCTTCGTCTTGAATATCTCACTGAAAGGTGCTGCCGCTTTCGAAGTGTAAAATCTCCTCCAAATCATGAATATACTCCATTGCGAGTTTGAGGACTTCAAGTTCTGAGAGATCTTGGCCTTTCTCGTTTTGCGGTAAAAGTTCACGCAGTGCTCTGAAAGCCCGTTCAACGTGCTCCAAACTTTCAAATCCTTCGTGGTCCATATCATTAGCCTTGGCGTTCATCTCTTTGATATACTTCACACCGTCTTGCATCTTGATAGCCATGTCTTTTCGATGTTTCCTTCGCGTAAAAGAGAAAAAAAAGTACTCTCTCCAACAAAGTCCTTCGCGAGTCGAGCTTCAACAAGTTTTGAACGCACCGATGTAAACGCTCTGATTAAATATCACGATTTGTTGATTGTTTCCTGTCGGTGAACATATTACGGCTATTGTTCTCTTTGCATCCTTCCAAATCATCTGCCACTCCTCCGCAATAATTAATACACATGAGTTCACCGGTGACATCACAGAAAAGAATTATGCGGAGTTTGCTACCACCGTGTAAAACTTGTTCTGTCGCGCAAATATCTGTGCGCGCAACACATGTTTCCGTCAGAAACTGTTCACTTACTTCTCCCAGAAGCATCGTTATGGAAAGTCGAAAGTTGATAAAACGTTTGCGCTTCCGATTTCTGAATAACAAACGAAATGAACAATCCTATTCCAGGCGCCAAATTCGCTAGCTATCTTACACTTCAAAATAATGGCTTTACTCAAGCGTTACTCAAACATCCTTTATCAACACAGGTGTGCAGCAGAAATTGCCTCCTCTATTGTTCGCTTCACCATCAACAACAACAGAGGCGCCGTAAGGACATTGTTTTCTGCTGTAAGACCGAATATGCACAGTGCCTAAGGATCGTGGGAATATTAACACGTAACCGAGGAGCGGTTTTTTTTTAATCTATCATTTGTGGGGTTGATAGTAAAAAAGTTTCTTCGCTGCAAAGCTATTTTGAAGTAAACTAGGCGGCGTAAAAATGAAATAACGCGCGCAAATCGGCTATCGCGAAAATAACGATACGCGTTTCATCTGTTTTTATCTACGGACGCCGTGAAACTTTTCGCATTCGTGGCTAAAACATCTGGCGAGATACTGGAGCTATGCGGATTGTTCGAATGCGTATGCACTCAAATGGATGGGATTAGGGAGTGTTTAGAGTTACATGGAACAAAACAGGAAACGCGACGGTGTATAGCAATGCAGTCCAAGCACCTTGAAACACAGAACATAACACCAGCCTGATTTTTGAGTCATTCTCGTTGGTAACGGGTAGAGTGAGGGCAAAGCAGGTTTGTATTATTGCCAGCGGGGGAGCTCTGAACACGTGGGCCATAAGCTCAGTTCACGGAGTCCGTAAACAGAAAAGCGTGGGAAAATCAGCCTTCATGAGACTCATTCTGTTTGTCCGAGCTTTACTTTACAACAAATTAATTCCTCGAGGGATTTGAACGCATCAATCGTTACATTTCTTGTCACTTTGACTAAAAACTCAATGAACTGTGAAATGGCCTGTGGGAATTACAGTCAAAACCTCTTGTGAAGTTCGTCGATCGGGGCGATTTATATTGGTTTCGGAGTTTAACGATCTTGCGCTGGGTTACATTCGAGTCTCGACGCAAATGGAATTTTTCCGTTAATTTTATAATCAGTCGAATGCCTGGCGTGTGGCAAAAATAGGAGATGTAATGACAGGTTGTTTTTTAGAAAATACCACCTGTTTGAAAAGTAGTGACTGTTTTGATACACGACGGTATCAAAATCCATCTAAGAAGGACAGAAAAACAAACAGCCTTTTCTATTTTTGAAAAGGAAATCAGAAAGACAACACACGTGTGAACAGAAAGTCGTAACGATGGTCTCTTTAACTCTGATGATGTTCGGAAAGTCCAATTTATATAAATCAAAATCGCTTCGTTGTTCAACAATCTAGTTCCGACTTATATGATACTTTCGATGACAGATTTCTTTGTTAACTTTGTTCTCTACGTCAAAAAGGGAGTAAACATTTGAGCACTTATGACATCGCAATTCCTCCGTTCCTTAGCAAAGCAACCGGTTGCTAGGCGTTCCAAACGAAAAGCGACTTAGGAATGTTAGAATAAATGAACGTTTTTTTTTTCGTTTTCTTGCCTCTCTAAACGTGCTCTATTGAGAAACGTAACATTGCTTTCATGAATCACTTCCTTAAGGCCTCTAACACATGCCGGAAGGAAAACTATTTTAAAAACGCACCAACAATTATGTGCTTTCGAAAATCAGCTTTCCTTTTATTGTGTTGTACAACTGAATGTCCACCTTCCAATGACTTTGCTTGTTTCTAAAGTATAATAATGGAAGTTAGGTTTGTTAATGAGGAGTTTATAAAGCTCATTAATTTTCTTATCGTGTCTAAGGAATCCCTGATGGTGACGTCAGACAACCACTTCCGCCATTTTGTTGGTCTTGAGGTAACATGGAAGAGAGGGGCTGGGTACTTCGATTACATCTTTTTTGGGCTTCTCCCCTCGCACGTGACTCGCACTTGCCTCAGAAAAATTACACCTGTTTTGCAGGTTACTTTAATAATAATAAAAAAAATTGGTGTTACACGTATTTCTAATTATTACAAATATACATGTGGCGATCTCTTTATAAAATTTACGGCTACGAATAGAAAAATGGCGTGGTTGAGTTTCGCTAATTTTGTTACGATACATATCAATCCCTTAGCTTGGTAAAGATTATCTCTTTTAATATTCCTTTTCTTGTTGCAAACTCCATTTTCCTTCTCAAAACGAGAGGGATTTGTAACAAAAATTCTACTAACTTGATCAAATTTTACCGCCAAAGGCTTCGTAACCGGTTCCTTCAAGATGTAAATTTCGCGGGCTCTTAGGGTTAGGGTTAGGGTTAAAACAAAACCCCCTTTGGTCCGTTCACTTCACTACAGATGTGAGAAACCCAGAAATTTCAGCTGAGACTGTACTCCACTTATCGGTTCAATTCATTAACTGTCACAGGGATTCCAGAAATTTCCACGATTGCTTCATTGGCTTGTAACTGGCTGAAACCATTCTCACCACTCAATTGGCTATTACCAACATCCACTCCAGTCCCTTGATCATCCAAAGCGGCAACTTGCGCCCGAGGTGTACCGAGCCCGAGATTCGGTATGTTTCTGTTGTAGCCGTACAGCAACTGGTCTTTTTCCTTGGGATCAAGCCGGGGTACACGGGAACGGGCAGTCCGCTCGGCGGTAACCACACGGGGCATATTCATACGTTTCAATTGTTCTTCTCGCTGTAAACGGCGCTGTGCACGGCATTTGCTATCAATCCTTGGCTTCAGAAACTGCCATCGCAGCTCTTCTTTCTCGGCGCTAATTGGAAACTTGTAGTTTACGTGAGCTAGAGAGAAATAAACAAATAATTTTTTTTAAAGAAAGATGAAAACACCAAAAAAAGATTGACAATGTTAATCAAAGAGGGACAAAAATGGTGAAGCATCTCCTGTGCTGGCAATCAACCTGACTAACGTAAATGCGTCACGTCACATTTTCCAAAACGTTTTTGGAGACGCGAAAAGTTAATTCAACTTAAAAGAGAGTGAGGAACAGAAAGCTTTCAATCTTTCTTAAATCGGTGTGATGAAGGAACGCAAAAAAGCTGTCAAAAAAAACCAAGAGAAAACAAGTGTGGCTGGGAATGGGGAAGACTGAAAGAAATAAGAAATGACGAACTTTGCCTAATTTTTCCGATACACAAATCAAGACATAGCTTCGCTCAGCCCCCTTCCACCACCCCCAGAGTTCACAACTAACCTTGAATTCCCTTTATTTTTATTGGATCTAGCAACTCTCTGCCACGTGCTCCGTTGATATTTGACGCAGCCATCTCGTCCCGAACAAAAAACGCCTCCAGCAAATTGAGAGACAGTTTGGCGGGATTTGATCCTGAAGCCTCGGCGCGTCCTAGAATCTTGGGATTGCCACAGTACCACACACGAGACTGAGGGTTGCTCCTGTCTCCAAGCCAACAGCCGCGAGAATACGATATGTTTTCCAGACCTGCGGACAACAAATCAAGCGAGTTAAGTCTGAACACGACAATAATGACCCATCTCTCCGTAGGATTAATTGAGTGTTGTCACTCCCCTTGAAAGGAGAACTTTTCCAGTGCAGGTACCCTCCCCCTTGGGTCTCCCAGACAGGTAAGGGTAAAGATTTTGAGGGTAAAGTCTATTGCACAAGAACAAAAAACAAAGATGACCAGGTCTAGGCAGTTCTCCTAACCAGCAGTGCAGAACATTGATATTGAGATGTGTAGAGTAAAGGGGTTAAGAAAGTGCAATTTTGTATACCTTCCATAGCGCACGGAGCACCGTTAATGATATCTTTTAGAGGCACTTCCGTTGACACACATTTTTTGTCTCTATGAGAGGGTGGATTATCTCCAAGTGACACTATGACTGGCACCAGCCCTTCCTCGTCACCTAATGAATGATCTGCTTCTGTCTCCCTGGAGACTGGTACCGGTTTTGTCGCCATGATGACAGGCCTTGCCACTGATTCAGCCCCTTGCCTTACGATTGGTGTCCGCCCTTCCTGTGGGATTTGCTTTGCCATGGTATCGAAGCCTTGATGGTAACCTTGATTCCATGCAACGAATGAGTGAGTTGTGACCGGGGAGCTTGCATGATTTGAGCTCACACCAGGAGACAAGCACATGCTGGGTGACTTGGTGCTGTCCGCGGGACTTGACATAAAGGTGTCCCTGGGGTTCCCTACTGCAGTGGTAAGTGAACTGCTCCTGTCTGTGAGCACAGACATATCACTGTCTCCCTCAGGTATTGGAGGCTCTCGTACTTTCATCTGAGAAACAACATTTCAACTTATGCACTCATTTTGCTATATTTGTATAAGAGAAGTATGGTGGAGTAACTAATTGACCAGCATCTAGTTTCTCCTTACAATATCACCCCTGAATCAAACATTAAGGTCATGAGAATAAAGGAAATGATCACCAACTAAAGAAGCTCTTGGTTGTTAAACAAATTCTCCCCGTCAGCACCTTAAAAACTGTAACAGAGAACAGTATAAAGAAAATGTATAGTGATATTGGGGTTTAAGTGTTGATTAGTGTTTACTTATATTTTACTGAAAGAGGAATTAATACAGGTGTATGTGCCGTCTAACAAAATGGAAGGAAAACAAAAATATTAGCCTCCACGAGAAAGAGTCCCACGCCTCCGCATTTCCTGTTGCTATGCTCTACCACTGAGTCACAGGGAATCCTACAATAAACTACGCCAAGTTAATAGGGAGTTTGAGAAGCGACAACGGCGACGCCGTGGACAATGTCGGTTAAAAATTCAAAATATATTTTACCTACAAATCTCGCGATACTGTAAAGTCATTTAGTTTGTTTCTCACTGTCAAAACTATTTCGAAACTGAACATGGAATACAGCGTTGAATTAGGCATAGAAATCTTTAAAAAATTAGCCGTCGTCGTTCGCGTTCTTCAGACAAGGCAAAGTTTTGCAGAGGACACAAAGAAATTTGCAAAGATTTATAACGCTCGTGTGCAGCCATTGTTCTGATCACTAAACCTTTCGTTTAATGACGTTCCCGTTGCCATTGCCTTCGTGGTTTTTTTTAACTCCCTAATACGTGGCACCTGTTACGCAAGTAAACCGAATAAGTAAGATGGTAATTTCCTCTGATTACTTTTGAATCCTGCAGAGAATTAAGTTAGAAAAACTCAGAGAATGTAAGAAGTTTATTCATAAATAAAACCTGTACAATTTCCCAGACACAATCAATCAATCAAACGTGTTCAATGACCCACCTCCGTCTTTCTAAACGAGTCTTGAACATGACCCTTCTTTCTTGGTGTTTCTCGTGTTGATTCGCCAGACAGAAAACTTTCAATTTTACAGTCTAAGGCCTCCAGGAACTTTTCAATATTTTCCAGCCTTTTACTGTTGGCTTGGACCATTTCACTGACAAAAGACTAATCGAGGTAGACAAAATGATAAACTACTAAAATAAACTACTAAAAAGAGAAAAAAAAAACATTACAATGGAGATCAAGACATAAGCTATCCACATAACCACAGATATATTACCAGTGCTGCTATACCCTTTAACTCCCAGAAGTGATTAACAAGTAACTTCTCCCTATAATATCCCTAAACTCATTCAACAAAAAGGTAATGAGAATACACAAACTTATCAGGTAGAAGTTTTTATCATGATCTAGCACCAAATTCTCATAACGTATTTACAACAAAATGTGTAGCAGCTGGAGGGGAGAATTAACAAACAGATCTTGAGAGTTAAAAGACTAAGGTATAGTTCCCTTAAGTCAGATTGATAACCACTTCTTGATAAAATTTCCTTCACAAAACATTTCCCTTTTTAACACAATTAAAGCAGTAACATTGCATTATCTGATTGGCCAATTTACTGTTGTCAGTAAATGAACAGATAACACTGCCTACATCAAGCAATGGTCTTGCACTGAGAGAATTATCTTATTTGATGTCAATATTGTGGTAAAAAACTGTGGTCAACAACATTTTGACCTCTGTGATTAGGAATATCCTTGTTGATAAGAGTATAGACTGCCGTTGACTGGTTAATTGTAGCAGTTTCCTGCATTTAACAATAAAACAAATCAAAAGTAATCCATAACTACCTCGTCTCTTACCAGAGATTTTGAGTAGTTGTCTGACACAAATGAAGAATCTGTCTGGGTGTACACATCTAATTTCAGACAAGAGCCATTTGCCCATACACAGGGCCTGTCAAATTTTGCACCTTTCTCCTACAAACAAAGAAAGTGACACTGTTATTCATTAATTCATAATGTGATGAAATCCTTGATTATGATTGGTTATTAATGTGTCTTTTATTTGTAATTGGCATACAATCAGTGGGATATCCTATTACTGCTGTGCAATTTTAACTTCAACTTTCTGTACCACGACACTAGCAGCAACCAAACATTCATAACGTGTTTTTCAATCCTTTGATCTCCAATGCCGACCAAAAAGAAATTTCTCCTTACAGTAGCAATACATAGTCAAGTAGAAGGTAACAAGAAAAGAGTGAAATATATCCATATTGGGATATCATTTGATCAAACTACAAATTCTTAGAGAAAACATCTTAAGAAATGAAGAATAGACAAAAGGGAGAATTGCTATTGTGATGTTGGGTGTTGATATAGGGTCAGCCAGTGTTTGTCACTGACACATGTATTTCCAGACTCTTCAACTGAATTTCTACATTTCAAAAATTCACTATAGTTGAAATTAAGTCTCCCTCCCTTTTGATACTTGTCTGCCAAATGTCTCTATGTTTTTCACCACCACTTGGCAAATGCAAGCTTCATAGCTCCCTATGTAAGAAGCTGTGAATTAGCTGTTTATTGATTTGAAAACTTTAAGATCCCTTTCTCCCTGGGAAACTGAATGTTTGAAAATTGGTTTTGTATAAATTCCTACCCTAAGGCCAAAACTGCATTCACATGCATCACTTAAATGCACGTTTTGAATAATTCTATGTGTGATCAACAAATGTTGAAGAATTTGCTGATTTCTTGCTTTTAAGCCTCTTCAATGCTATTTGCTCACGGAAGCAGACACTTTATCTTTAAACTTCTCCAGAATTAAATTTAAACACCTGTGTTGGATGTTGTCCTTGAGTAGCATAGTGTTATAAAGTCAGACGTGTAAATCAAGTGAGGCCAGGTATGCTACAATAATTTAGTTTAGTTTTCCGAGCTTTTGCCAATCTATGGCATCATCAGGGAATGATCATCATTCCCTGATGATGCTGCAGATCAGCAAAGCTCGGAAAACGGAACTAAATTATTTTGGTATACCTGGCCTCACTTGATTTACATGTCTGATTTTGAACACCTGTATTCCACCAATTTCATTTTCCCACCCCATCCAGACAAGGATCCAATTCCCTATCACCAGGGCTCAGACAACACTCAAATGCCCAAGGGGGAAGGATATTGAGGCTTTGAATAAGTTGGCCCATATTAGTTGGCACATTACTGGAAAGTAGATCCGTAAACATTGAAACATTTGTCTGAGCTACATTCTCTTATCTTAGTGTTTCCCATAACCCAAAACTTGCTATAAAGAACTTAAAAAATTATTCACAAGTCTTTTATTGTTTACACACCAAGATTACATCATACTGCTTAAAAAATGTAATGTACGATAACAATGAAAGACTGTTAGGTTTGATTTCTTAGTCCTACTTTTTAAAGTGAAACCAAGATACAGTTGTTGACTCCTGTTTAAGAGTGACATAAAGGTTTCAAATCACTCCCACACAGTAACTAAAGATATGATGTTGAGAAAGTCTCCAAACATGTATGTGTGTCTACATTTGAATTGTCTATTTCAAGACTATAAAACAACTGCAATGAAAATGTCATTTGCAAAAATATTTTTGTCAAACAGACTTCAAAAATAGGAACATATTTTTCTCACCATGGAAATTAGAGGTTTACATCTGGGTAAAAAAGGGTAAAAACTGATAGAAAGGGCAGCTAAATCTTAATGTTAGAGTTTAAAAGAAAAAGTCGTTTTTAATGACAAGTTTAGGAGATACAACACAGGAGAACCCTATGTTCCTTGTCTCAAAAAAACTACTTATGAAAACGTCATAACATTGGTTAATTCTTAGAAAAGGCTGCTAAATCTTAATCTTAGAGTTTGAAAGAAAAAAAAGTCATTTTTAATGACAAGTTTAGGAGATACAACAGGAGAACCCTATGTTGCTTGTCTCAAAAAAGCTACTTGTGAAAATGTCATAGTATCAGTTAATTTTTTCTGTTTATGTCAAGGAACAAAGACTTGTGCAGAATTATAGTTTTAGAGTTAACAGCAAATATTTAGTATAACTACACTAAAAATATTTCATATATTAATTAAATTTCTAAGTTTGTATCACTATTTTACAAGCTTGCAGCTAAAGAATGCTTTTTTTTCTCTAATAATCATAAGGGAAAAGTGATCTGCATGTGTAAAATGGACTTTATAAAATGTTTTTAAATTCATCTAGGACTTGAGGATGTATATGTTAGAACTGTTACTGAGACATCTGCTTCAGGTCATCATGTTCAATGCTTGTTTCTTCTGAAATTTTAAGAGTTGTAGAAGATTTAATTAGCTAATTGGTTCCTAACAATATTGTTAATGTTCTAGTTAAATTAAGTTCAATTGTAGAGGGGGGAAGAGGTAATTATTGTATTTATGATAACAAAATGATCTTTATGAGTTTCACCTGATTAATAATCATTGTTGTTTGTATTCTGAAAATCTATGATTTAATGGACCCAAAACAAGTTATTTTTAATCTCATTTCATGTGTCTTATTCAAGGACTTAATTCTAATTTGAATAAATTTTTTATTATGTTACAAGTAAAAAAAAAAAGCACAGTAGAACCTCCCAGACTAAAATTACCAAAGAAAATGAAGAACAGTATATTATATCAAGGAGTTTGGTTCAACTGATAGTTCATGAACCAAAAATGAACTTTAATGGTGAGGTCTTTCATTAAAAACCCAAAGAAATTTTTCCATAATTCCAGATGATATTTTCATTTACATATTACTTTACAAATGATATACATTTCAGAACTGTTGTAAAAAAGAATCCTAACAGAGGAAATGTCTGATCAAATGGCTTACAATTTTGAAACAAAGCAAAGGCCTCTTTTAATGGACCTAATATTGTAGCCTTACCACTAAAACATCACTTTGCTGTCCATCTGTTGCTTTTCTTTTACGAACAGAATTTGAATTGGTTACATTGTTGTTGTAGAGGTCAGCCTCCATTGGTTCCATAGTACCTGAGTTTTTATCCCTGTGAGAAACAAATGATCAGTTGACAACATTAACCCTTTCACTCCCATAAGTGACCAAGACAGAATTTCTCCTCACAATATCAATACAATATCAAGCAGACAAGTGATGAGAATAAAGTAAAATATAAATTAGGGGATTATAAGTTGATCCAATACAAAATTCTCCAAATTAACATTGCAAGAACTGTATGGCAGACTCTAAGGAGAATTACTAATGAGATCTTGGGAGTTACAGGGTTAAAACATCATTTGAAATATTTCTAACAACTGTATTGCTTACATTTGTCTGACCATTACATTCAATGAGAGTTAACATCCTCTAACAGATATGTTGGTTTTTTCTCATTACCCGCTTGCAGGAAAATATATTGATATTGTAGGGAGAAGATGCATGTTGGTCACGGCTGGAGGTGAGAATTGTGTTGTTCTAGAATTACCCTGCAAGCACATGCAAGTTAGTTTGGCTGCAGCACAGGTGTTTTTGCCCAATAAAAAGAACCAGACCCCTCCCAGACCTGAAGCTGGGTTCCTTTCCACAAGGCCTCTAAGTTTATTGCCAGTAAAGAATTGCTTGTGTTGCATTGATCATGATGTGTACCTGCTTGTTGGCAATTCTTGAATCCAGAGTGTGCAGGATTTTTGGCTAGCAATCACTATGTGACAATGCTGGTAGCTTTTTTTTTAATGCTGATCAATTACCTTACCTCTTCCTCCCCCCCCAGCCGCCCCCACCCTACCGTCCAAAGGCATGGCACTTGTCGCGTACAACTCAAGATCAGTGATAAGTTTTCAAATGACGCGTTCTGGCATAGAAAATGTTTGATTTTTTTACACCACAAGATTTGAGTGGTTTTGTTCAACGATGAATTTCCTGAAATTAAATTTTCATTCAAGTGTCTCGCGAGACTCTGCGTAGGCCTAACAGCCTTCAACTCGGTTTGCGCGCATGCAAGACTTCATGATCGCAGACAGTAATGCGATCTAAGGTGAATCTAAATCAATTCACTTAAGTTTTCAACACGCCAGAAAAAGCCTCGCCGCTATCTTGCCTCATTCATACCAAAAACCATCTGCGAATCTCAAAAGTTGCACTACTTATGTCAAAAATAGAAAAGCGAACGTGTACCTCCGTGTTGTCGAAGCCGTTACGTGTATCTGAATACGTGCCAAACCGAGAAACGCGATGGTCTGCGCTATTTTGCTCTGTTTCGTAATATTTTAGACCAAGGAGATGAAAACTTACTTGGCAGGTTGCATTGTCGACAACAGCTTCTGTTGAAGATTGGAAAAGTGCGCGTTTAACGCCGTATAACGCCAAGCTTCCATTAACTAGACGCGCTATTTTCGCATTCCAACGCCATCACACTCAGTCGAGGGCAACCGCGTGATCTCTGTCCGACCACGCGTGTGCTGCGTGATCAATCTAATAATTTACCCGAGCATTAGCGGGCAGCCCTCCTTGGGGCTTTTTCAAATATGAGTCGATACAACAAAATCATCTCAAAAACAACCAATATAGGCCTAATTAGAGATTTTCAACACTTGGAAAACATGATTATGTGGTAAATTTCCTAATCATGGATAAGATGAAGACCCTTTCATGAAAGAAAACTAATTGTAATCTACCTACCGATCCCTAGAAAGTGAATTGTCGAAACGAAATTACCGCTCTTTCTTATCTTTTTACTGAGTGTGCGTTGATACAAAGATCTGCTGACCAAAAAATAGAGATAAAAACAGTGCAAAAACGGTGAGAGCACAGTTTGGATTATAGCATTTGCCACATTTTCCCGTAGGAAACGGGAGTCCCAAGGATGGGAATGCTCCAGAGTGACTTTGTAAAGATTTAAGTATTATTTGGGTAAACTTTCTATTGGAGACAAATCGTTGAAAATGTGGCACGAAGCGAGAAGGCAAGAAAAGAAATTGCGCGGAATGATGGTAGATTACCGCAAAAGGGCAGAGCGAAGAAGAGCTTTCTACGAAAGGATGGTTGGATTACACCTTCATGTTTATGATTTTACTTTATAACAAGATTCTAAGGCAATGAATACGAGGTTTCGGACAACCAGACGGGGCGAGATTGATTCCGAAAACCCTTTTGATGTTGAATCCGTATCCCACCTCCGCCATACCCCAACCCGCAGGATGTACCCTATAGTATCATGAAGGGATTAATTAGCTTGTAACTTCTCCCCATGAAATCGATTCATTACCAGCATATAGGCGATGAGGGCAGACAAACCTATCAGCCAAAAGGTGCTATTTAGATTTAACACCAAATTCCCTCATCTTACAACAATTAAGATAAAGAAGGAGGGATTTTCAAACAAATCTTGGAAGTGAAAGCGGGCTTTGAGACGCATGAAAGGATTTCAAATTCTGAAATGTTTGTCATTGTTCTTAGCTTGTTATTCCTATCATTTGTCTGGCACTCCCACTGGGCTGAATTTCTTTTACACATAGGTTCAAGTGAGAAAACTTGTGAGTTCCAAAAAATAATGTACTCTAGTTGTTTGGAGGGAATACATACAAAAGCTGGCAGCCAGCAAAGGTTCCCCCCTGATTTGCAGGGCTTCATTGGCTTATAACCTAGATGGGGTAGAGAAGACAGTTTACTACAGATCCTCTCAGAACTATAAACAAAATCCAGCTGGATGATTACTTAGCAATAGTGTCAATTTTTTTCTCTTTATTATATTTATTCAGAAACAAGATCCTACTCAGTTCCTGAGAGTATATGGACAAAAATATAAAATCCATATTGATCCACAGTTGTCATCAGCAGGAGATGGGAAAACTGTAATGTGAGAAGGAATGATTATTAAATAGCATGCAAATACAGACTTTTTGGTGGCAGAGAAGCCATAAGCAACAACCAGAAATAAAAGTGCATTACTGGACTATGATTAAAAGACTCACGAGAATTGTGAATCGAATAAAGTAGAAAGCTACAACTGATGAGAAAGTTAACACAGACAAATTTTATTTTGGTCATATATAAGCTTGCAATGGTTAGGCAAGCCAAGACTCCCAAAAAATGGCTTATGCATGTATGCTGATCATCAGCTCTTCGTATTTTGCACTTAACCCTTTAACTCCCAAGATCTCATCAGTAATTCTACTTACTGTCTGTCATACAATTCATATGATGTTAGTTTTGAGAATTTGGAATTGAATCAACCAATAATCACCTAACTGATATTTTTCTTTATTCTCATTACTTGTCTGCTTGACATTGTACTGATAGTGTAAGGAGAAATTCTGTCTTGGTCACTAACGGGACTTAAAGGGTTAAGGAATTTATTACTACATTTTGATTAAGGAAATTATGTTTTTATTTTTAATTTTTTTTCTTTCTCCAGGATGCCATGGCAAGGTGACTCAAATAACATGATTGACAGGTATTGCATTACTTAACCCTTTACACCCTAGCATCAGTATGCATATTCTCCTCACATTTCCTATGGTACTGACAAGGATAATTTTTTTGATAATTAGGAGCTTCCTAAATTGGAGATATTTTCTTTTATTCTCTCAACATTTATATCTGAGTTAAAGGTGAAACCATGAGGAGAATTTAGAAGCTAGTCACTCTTAGGAGTTAAATGGTTTAAAGATAAAATTTCCAAAAGAAATGTGATGCTACAGGGCGTGAAATTGCGCCTAATACAGGCGCCAATGCGACTAACTTTTTCACTTTGGCGACCGAATCCTGGAAATTAGTCGCGAAATTGGCGACTAGAATGTTTCATCTTAACCTTATTAAGAGATTATAGTGAATTAAAAAGATTTGCAAAGATAAATCCGTCGCAAACTTCCTCATTAAGTTTGTTTCCAAAACGCAACAGATGCATCTCAATCGATAATTAGACGCTATCTTGGAATTAAGTGAGCTTTAACGTTGTATATCGTCCATCCTAGTGTCCATTTTGTAGCATGTTAAAGATCTTTTCCCAAACTTAATTTTGGAGGGTCTATCTAGAATGCTGACGGTTTAAAAGAAGGTTTTGTTTGTCTTTGAAAATGGCGACCAACTTTTTTTCACTTGGCTACCACTTTGAAGAATTTAGGAGCCAAGTGGCTATCAGAAAAAAAAATTAATTTCACACCCTGTGCTATAATATGAAGTGTGAAAGAGGACTTCAGTTAACCTTTCGACTCACATGAGCAACCAATATGGCGTAACAGAAATACTCTTTACAGTATCAATACAACATCAAGCAGACAAGTAATGAGAAAAGAGAACAATATCAATTAGAGGATTATTAGTTGATCCAATAACAAATTCTTCAAACTCACATCAAAATAATTGTCTGGCAAACAGTAGGGTGAATTAGTAATGAGATCTTATCAAAGGAAAGGGTTAACAGTAATATATTTTAAGTGAAATATTAAAATGTCAAGTCTGTGTATTGTAAATGATGAATTCTAAGTAATGTATTGTAAGTTGATAGTTTAGGTATGCTAAACATTTTACATCTGTGTCAGTAGTATAATTAAAATTTGCATCATCAGTGTCTTAAGTCAATTTAATAGTGTATACTGAATAATTTAGTTGTTAAATGAGCAAAAAAATGATGTAGAAGTGAAAAGTGTTGGTCTTTCGTTTTCAGGTTTGATGTTCGAGCCCACCTTGATATTATCCCAGAACAACCATCATCAAGTTCTATTGGGTAGGTGCACAAATTATAGACAGAAATGAGATCTGTGTCAACCAAGAAAAAAAAAAATTATGATATGAATGCCTTTACACCTCTAAGTCCTGGTTGTGACCAAGACAGAATTTCTCCTTACACTATCAGTACAATATCAAGCAGACAAGTAATGAGAATAAAGAAAAATATCATATATTGGTGGAACCAATTCCAAATTGTAAGGCAGAAAGTGAGGAGAATAACTGATGAGATCTTGGGAGTTAAAGGGTTAAGGCAGATACTGGCTTCTTCACTTCTATTCTTTGGCAGTCTCGTTTTAAAACTTAAAAATTCATGCTGACACTGAAAAAGGATCCAAAGCCAAGCAAAGAAAGTTCAGCCTTGAAAGAAAGTTTTGTTTGTTTTTCTGCTATTTTCCATTTGTTCTCTCAGGATGTTACCAGTATGCTTTCTCTCAAAATTCTAGACCTTGTTCTTTTGACTTGCATCTAAATGTAATGACTGAAGTCTATTGGATCAGTTGCAAATGTGACAATACTGAAAAGATTGTGCACTATTGTTTTTCTTAGAGCCTTGATGGAGACTGATCCAGAGGAAAACAGATTAAATTACGAAAGATACAGAACATTGGTAATGATAGATTACAGTGGAGGTCAGTAAGTCAGTTATCACCCTGCAAGAAAGAATGCACAGCCCAGTGACCAAGAGTGTACGAAATAGGAAGCTTGTGGTGAATTTTTCGATATTTCATTTTTTTTTAGCCTCAGAGGAGTCTTATCTTCGGCAGTTGGAAATAGAGGAAATGTATGGAGCCAAGAAAGCAGATGAGAAAAAAGACAAAGAAAAGTAAGCAACACAGCTCAAAATCTGAGGAGGAGTGGGGTTCTGTTTAAAGTAATCTGTATTTATATTGGAGACCGTAAGGAAACTGTGACAGCAACTGCAATGAGGAGGTAGTGAAGCAAAAGATCTAGGGGCAGAAAAATAGCTCAGCACAAGCATATGTATATACATATGGAAGCCTTCCTCTGCAAAATAACATTGTGAAATCACCAAAATTTGCATGTTCTGAGAATGGAAAATTATTTAGGTTTTCATTTGGAACTCATCATTGTTGACATAAATTATACTAAGTTGAGGTGTAGTGTGATAAAAGACAGTAAACACATCCTGCTATTTGTTCTAAATTTATAAACTCATTTTTAATTGACCCCTTCTTTGGCGTTGCTGTCCTTACTGTTTAACCCTTTAACCCCTAAGACTGATTAGCATCTATTTTCTCCTTCCAATATCACCACTGAATCACACATTAATGTCATGAGAATAAAGGAAATGATCACCAACTAAAGAAACTCTTGATTGTTAGACAAATTCTCCCTGTCAGCACCTTAGTAAATGTACAGAGAACAGTAGGGAGAATATGAATATTGTTGAAAGTAATGCTTGGAGAAAATGTAATTAATTTACTTCTACTTATTTCTCCAAGCTGTAACCTTTTTGGTGGCCATGACAAGAAAAAAAATTTACCAGACACCTTAAAGTTTAAACAAATTTTTTTGGGGTATGAAGAAACACAAAAGTTTGAATGCTGTGTAATATTTCACTGTCAGTTATCTATGAGAATAACTCCATTTCTTGATGATGGTACAGGAGTCAAGCTAAGGCTACCATTGGCTTCACATATGACAACAGCAAAAGTGTCGGCGATTCGGACAAGGACGACGAT